GGCAAACTGTTGCTGTCGTTTGTAAAAAGAATGACTTCAAAAACAAAAAATTTTTCAACTTCTCGACTTGTGATACAACTCAAAAGAAGTAACAAATTTTTTAATGTTTAAAAAAACTAGGTGAACCAAAATTTTTGTGTATATTGGTAAAAACAACTAGTAGCCCAGACAAAGCTGGTAGAGGTACGTGCTTGATATTGAATTAAATTGCTGTACTGATGCCGCACGGAAAATGTGATTTCGAAAATTAGACTTTGTCCAAAACCTTAGTAGTTTCTTTTCTAAAATAATTGAGAAGGGTAAAATTTTGAGATAACCAATTTTCCCACGGAGATAATAACAATTTTCGTAGAACAATTACTGAGTCGCCGCTTCTGCAGGAAGCTTTTCATAACTGCTCAGTTCTTTGAAAGCAAAAACTCAGATTTGAGAGAGGTATTTTTGGAGAAAACGAAAAAAAATCAAAATCATCAGTCAAATATTCCCTCAGAGGCTTTTTCGACGGCTCTAGACAGAGGGGTCAAGTAAGAAGAGACTCTAGAAGTCAAAACAGACACAGAGGGTAGTAGGCGGTTTTTCAATTGATCCACTTTTTGAAAATTTTTAGAAGTTTCTGAGAAAAACTAAAGTTCTTATTAAACTAACTAATGAATATTAAACTAACTTTCTTTAGTGAAAAAAAAAATTCAGCAAACCGATTGGTGAACATATAACTAAAATGAAAAGTGCTGAAAAGAGTCTTCAATTTATGTTTCCCTTTAAACAACCGAAAATAAGGTCTTTCCGCCGATGAAAAATATGCCGAAATAAATTGGGCCGAGGAATTTTTTCTGAGCGAAAAAACAATCAAGAAGGAAACACGAACTCAAGGTAAGTAAAATTACAAATTGTAGGAGTAAATCATACGCTAAAATCAAAATTAACGAAAATTACCCACCGCAAAAAAATGATGTCAAGATGTGACAGCTATGCCGACAACAGATAAGCAGGCAATAAAATAAATGGCTGACGATTTTATTGGAAACAATATTTCACGTTTAAAAAAAGAACCTGGTCAGATTCAAACCCAGTACCTTTGCCGTTTGAGGCATATTTGTTATCTCCAGGCTAAGTTAGCCGGGAGCGCAAAGAAGTTTGAGTTCATTTTGATCTAAGATGCAAGTGATTCAATGATTCTGTTACACAAGTTGTTTAATTCCAGTTTGACAACGCTTGCTTTTTGCAATAGTAATAATACATTAAGCTGATCGCTAGAGTAGAAACTTAAATCGAAAAAAAAAATTGATTTGATTTTTTTCCATTTAATTGAGGAGGGTCTGTGGGGTTGGCTAAATGTTTTTAAAGTTTGTTGTGCGATTCAATCATTATCAAATAAGATCAACAAAATAAAAAACATTGAGAAAAAAACTCGACAGAATTAAGGGTGAACAACATCCAGCGCCGAAAATCAACCGAACAGTTTTGGCACCGAAATATATATTTTTTCTACTTTACAAGAATTCTTAACTTGGTCTCAAACGATGTATGCTACCAATACACTGACCATGCGATTACCTCATCAGTGGATATTGAACAGTTGATACTAATTACTATTTACGCATTCTGCGAATTAAGTTATTTACAGGAAAAAAGTCTGGAACTTGGATGCAATACTCCTTATTTGGAAATTTTGAACAATGATGAGTTTGGAGGAGTTTTCAATTCACATATAAACTTTTACCAGTAGAAATTGGCTAGTCGACAACTCAAATTGCTTGTTCATATTTATTAACACTGATGGCATGAAGAAAAAAACAGCAGAAAATAGGGTTATTGAAAACCTGTGTTTGACACTTTGTAACCTGTTGAAATAAACTGAATTATTGAAATTTGAGTTGTAACACTGAGAACTTAAAGAAAAAATAGCAGAGAACAGGGTTATTGAAAAGACGTGTTTGAAACTTTGTAACCTGTTGAATTGAGCTGAATGATTGAAATATGAGTGATGGACCCAATTTGAGCAGGTCGAAGACATTAAAAAGGGACGAGAGTACAATGACTAGTCACTGCATGCTTGAATACTGAGACGAAGCTTTAGAAAGTGCATTAGGAAAAACTAGAAGTAATTCTCGAGTTTGCAAAAGTTCGGCTAGGTCTAGAATTTGATCTGCGACCTACTGCCTTCTAGAGTTTTTGAGTTTCTCGCACTAAATACTCAGCCACGCACGCTTAACTACCGAAAAACACTAGTCGCGAATAAAGCAGCTACATATGCTCATAAGTTGCCACTGCGATACAGCAAAATTGGCACCAAATACAATTAGACGCAAATTTGCAAGTAATAATTTGGACTATAACAAATTGCAAAGCATAAAGGCAGATTATGTATAAGCTATGCTGTTTAAAAATAGCGAGGTATATTGAGTTAGATAATTTCTGAAATTGAGTTTTTTTATGGTTATGTTGTGTTTTCGGTTCATTTAATGAATCAAAAATGCATCAACTGTGTTAACTTATTACTATTCGAATTTCAAAGCACATGCTATCAAAAAGCTGCAAAGGTGCCCCATAAGTGGCACCAATATTTGCGACTTGGGCTAGAAACAAAATTCTTAATAATACACTGAGCTGACGCAAGTGTAATTATAATTTGCAGATATAGATGATTACGGCTAATAGAACATTGAAAAACTGGAGAATTAGTTGTTATATTTTTTTGGCTTCAACCCATTTTTACGAGCAATTCAATCAGAAAAACGGAAAAACTCAGACAATTTTTCTCGACATTTGGACTTTCAAAAATTGCAATTTGATTAAGATCTGAGATATCTTTACCTGACAAGATCCTGAATTTCTATTATTCATATTTGAAAAACCTTAAATTAGTTGAAGGTATTAAATCAGGTAAAAAAATCCAATTCAAAGATACAAAACAAAGGTATCATGGTACGGCAGTTTGCCTAAAAAAAAAGACCCCAGCCACTAAACCAGACAATGTTATGAAGTTCAAACGTCTATCAAGTCTAAGCTGAAACGAGAAGTTTTTTTTCAAATCAGTGTCGTTATTTTTGCCGTGGTGTTATTAAAGGAGCTGAACGAAAAACTGAAGACTAAACAAATTGAAAAATCATAGTAAAATGAGCAAATTGAAAAAAACCGTAGAAAAATTACTAAAAAAACAAAACAGTATAAAAAGTAAATTTTCAAACATTTGTTGAATTATTTTTGCAGTTTTTTGAAATTTTTTCTTCCAAAAAGCCGCTAAACTGCTAAAAAAAGTTTTAACTTATTCCAGTAAAACTAAATTTTACATTTTAATTTAGGCTATTATAAACTTTAAAGCCATTAAACTAGGCTTTTGTACGCCTGCTCGCTCGCTTTTTTTCGCTCGAATTAAGACGAATAACCAAAAATTTCAAACCGGTTTGTCTCGAAATCATGACGATAAGGCCTCAATATGATACATCACTCAACTCTCTCTGATGATTTTTTGGGGTACCTGACTTTGCATGGTAATAAAAAAAAAAGTACTACACACCCGAATACAAAGTTTCTTACCATTTTTCAATTGGTCGGAACAATCACAGCATGAAAATCATAATTATCAGCATTAATCTACCCCGGAGCCATTTTTTACCCAACCGTAACCAAGCCAATAAAAATTGGTTAGACACCCGTTGGGCGGTATAAAAAACTTCAAGCTATGCAAATTTTCAAAATCGAAGTTTAACGAGAAAACCGTAGAAGCATAAGCCAAAAATATTTGAGCCAAAAACACCTTAAAATTTTATATTAACATGAAAGTTTTATTAAATCTTAAAATTTCTATTACCTGCACTATTAGAAAAAGAAAAAACGTTATTTTCAAATGAAAGGAATTGCTGCTTCTTCAAAAAAGGCGCATACAACAAAAACTAAGTCGGCAAAAAATAAGCGGACACAATAATCCGAAAATTGAAATTTTTAAGCAGAATTTATGGTTCAAAAAGGCAGATTCTGCCCGGACTTGAACCCCCAAGCCTTCGACGCCCTAAGAAATAGCGTAATCTATGTGAAAAAAGGCCAAATCACACATTTTAGAATTCATTATGGAGCAAGTTGAAACACGCAACCTTCTCACTTGCGAACAAAGCAAGTCAAAACACCAAACCTTCTCACTTGCGAACAACAAGAAAAAATATAGTACCTGGCTGCATTACCCTTGCCAATCGCAAAGGTAAAGAATGCAATCAATTAACCCACAACGTTGTGTATATAATAACAACCTTATTAATGTCTTTTGGACGCGAAGAGAAACGGTTAACTAATAGACAAGTGACTGGATTCGCTAATTTGAGCATTTAATTATTCTCGAAGACATTTTGAGAAGTCATTTGGAAAGTCATCTAATTAAACTAGTATTATACAAAATCTTTAGGTCGTGTGCAGGGGCGGATCTAGGATTTTGTCGCCTTTTTTTAGGTCGACCAATTTGATTTTCCGAGCTCTCCCAAAGTACTAAATAGACCATGGTTTGGCCAAATTTTTGGCTTGGCGTCTCAGGTAGAATTTTGAAAAAAAAACAGGCAAAAAAGCGTTTTAGGCTTTTTTTGGAAACTTTTGACCAAAAATTTACACTTTTTCGGCGCGCGCTCCCTCCTCAAAATTAGTATATAGTGGCGCCTTTAGAAAACTGTTGGGGTCCGTCAGCCAAAAATGGATATCTTAAAATAATTCAAAGGGGGGGGACCCCTTGGGTCGAATCCTGAAGGGAATAAGCGTCTGCTACCTTTCACATTCAATATTCACTCATAAAATTTTTCTTAATCACAACGATTTAGCAACGGTAATGCAACCGGGTACAAAATTTTTCCTTGCAGATATTTTTTGCAGTTAAAATCTTTAAATACACGACCTAATTAGATAAAAATTCTCTTCGGTCATTAACACTGAAAAATGAGTTGAGTGCAATTCAAAAACATTTTTACGTGCGTGCAATCCTCTGATACAACAGGCTAATTATACTTAGAAAAATAAGAGACTGATGATAAAAAAAATAAATTCTCCAAATAAATAGCTAGATAGAAAAGAAGATACAAGTCGACAGCAGAAATACAAACTAACGAATCCTCCGTTACAAATTTCTTTTACATTAATAAGTTAACATTGCTTTTGAGATTGCCTCCAACGTTAGTTTTTCCAAAAAAATTCCAAAGTTCATTCAGTCGTCTAGAGATTGTTTGTCGTTGGATAGAATTTTGTATATGACTGAGAAGTCCTTGATGCCGTATCCCTGTGCGCACATGGTCCTGTAGATCTGGTGCGAAATGGATCCCAGAGGTGTGGCACTCTTCGATTTAGTTGCCTCGTGCTGTGCCAGACCCAAATCCTGAAACACAGTAGGCTAACAACTACCACTAAGCTATTGGCCTCTCAATCGAACTTTTGGTTGTTCGAGGCTCACTATGATACGTGCTCTTTGCTTGAGGGTCAAGAAAATGCACTTATTTTTAGCCGGGTCACAACAACGGTAGTGGGATGAGCGGCTAGCACATTGGTCCTTTTCTTAGTGGATGAATAGTTTTAACTTAAGTAAAGCTAGTTAAACTTAACAAAGCTTACATTGTATCGTTTTTCTTTTCTTCACTTTTTTTGTTAATTTGAGCACTGATCGCCTAAGAAGATCCTAATTGAAAAGAAAGATTTTGAACAAAATTTACTCATTTTCTGAGGTCACAAACGAAGTTTTTGAACGCGGAAAACCAATCTACCAAGTCTGTTTTTTATACAAGGCAATGACGAAATACTTGCAGTCTATTGGGGTCGTTGTTTTAGCTTATTAATACGACCGACCTTAGTGATGAGTGCAGTTCCAAATCCGTCCTTGTAATCATTGGAGGCTGGCACATTGGGTTTAACGCCTGGAACTGGGTTGTAGGTATCCACAGACCATGACCTTCCACTGCTCACACTGAGGATTTCAGTCAATAGGTTCTTGTCCAGTCCCATCCTGAAACATTTCACCTTTGAGAAACATGAGTATGATAAGGAACATATTTGTTCATGAAATGAGAAACTTTGGTTGGTTTAGCAATTTTGGCTACTGTTTTAAATAATATCCTATCAAGTACTTTATCAAATTAAACTGTTTTTATTGTGCCGGCATGTATAAAGCAAGTTTGTCCAGTGGCCGTAAAAACTACATATCGAAAAAAATCGCAAGAAATTATGCTATTGATGATTTTTGGGTAATCTTAGTTTCAGAGGAAACTTAGTAATCAACCTAAACTAAATTTTAAAATGGAGCGCGCAAAAAAGCAACCACTTTAGCGTCGAAGTTCTCAAAATTTAACAAACTTGCTATTTTTATAAATCCGAGTACTACTAAAAATCCAAGATCTTCGATCGCATTCGAATCTCAGAAATGCACTATCTTTAAATCAGATGAATCTATAAAACCAGTCCTCTTGACCAATGACAGGTTTTGGTAAAAAGCAGCTCTTGAACACTAAAGGGGATTTCGATTACAAGCGTATTATTAGCGGATTCGATTATTAGGAATTAATATCGTTTATTAAACGGATATAGCTGTGGCAAGAAAATTGCTACTGCAACAAAAAAACAAATTATTTGTTTACTCCGATTTTCACATGAATTTTAGCAGTAAGCCACGCAGCAGTGAATGAATGCGCTTTATTTTAGCAAAATAGCCCATGATGAAAGAAATATGGCAATTACATAGGAAAAGGACAGGTATTATAATACCACAAGCGTTGTTGTTCCGACTTTCGAAGAAAGTAAGGAACATAAATGCCTTGGCGTTTTTTTCTACATTCAAACCAATTTTACAAAAAAAAATGTCTGGATATCATGTGGATCGATCTGCGCGTTTTCAGGTTGCCAGGCGATCGTGCTTGCCACTGGCCTGATTACGGTTAGAAATTGCTCGATTACTTAACTAATTCCGGTTGCTTAACTAATTAAATAGCAAAAACGTTAACTGGTTACGAAAACTGATCAATCAAAAATTCCGAAAAAAACTACAGAGAACATTGTCAATGATTTTCAACCAACCGACATAAATGATATCTTATTAAAATTTCACACAGAGGCGACGGTGCGCTTTGCAAACACTAGAGAACACGGCAAAAGGCAGCTCTAAAAATTGCAATAAGAAAAAAAACATACGTCTCGAATTAGTAAAAATTCGGATACGTCTCGAATTCGAACCTACGAACGACTACGACCTAGAGATTATGAATTTCACGCACTAAGCACTCAGCCACGGACGCTTAAAAGATGACAACCACTAGTCGCAACTAAGCAGAAAACAGATGCTTTGCAATTTCCAATGCTAGAGTGAAATTTCCATTGGAAAGAAATGCTTTCTGAAATTAGTTTTTGACATAATTTCTATTAGCGCATTTTCGTCAACTCAAAGGTAATTTTTGTCTCATGTTCCAGCCACGATGTCGGTACTATTTTAGATCATAACTCTATTATGTGGTTGGCTAAAACTAATCAAAAGCTAAACAACAACTTTTGTCTGAACTCTTAGCCGTAAAACAGTAAAGACCCTAACTCAAAAATCATAAGGGAGCAAAAAAAAATACACAGATATCATTACGCAGATATCATTTTTGTCACAATTCCAGAATTGTGATAGAAATGATAAACAATTCAGTCCCAGACCAAAGGGAATTCGCTCACCTGATGCCGAGGTTCAATGTCTCTGAGGTTCCAATCATTGATATGGCCAGCATCATGTTGTTACAAATCTTTGCTGTCTAAACAAAGCACTTGAGACGCAATTAGTTCATAGAAGTTCAAGAAGTTTCACGTCTAGTTAATACACCAGACCTTAAGTACTGACAGACGAGCAAACACCCACCCCCCTGAAATTCACCCCTTTTCATAACATATCGAAAAAAATCGCAAGAAATTATGCTATTGATGATTTTTGGGTAATCTTAGTTTCAGAGGAAACTTAGTAATCAACCTAAACTAAATTTTAAAATGGAGCGCGCAAAAAAGCAACCACTTTAGCGTCGAAGTTCTCAAAATTTAACAAACTTGCTATTTTTATAAATCCGAGTACTACTAAAAATCCAAGATCTTCGATCGCATTCGAATCTCAGAAATGCACTATCTTTAAATCAGATGAATCTATAAAACCAGTCCTCTTGACCAATGACAGGTTTTGGTAAAAAGCAGCTCTTGAACACTAAAGGGGATTTCGATTACAAGCGTATTATTAGCGGATTCGATTATTAGGAATTAATATCGTTTATTAAACGGATATAGCTGTGGCAAGAAAATTGCTACTGCAACAAAAAAACAAATTATTTGTTTACTCCGATTTTCACATGAATTTTAGCAGTAAGCCACGCAGCAGTGAATGAATGCGCTTTATTTTAGCAAAATAGCCCATGATGAAAGAAATATGGCAATTACATAGGAAAAGGACAGGTATTATAATACCACAAGCGTTGTTGTTCCGACTTTCGAAGAAAGTAAGGAACATAAATGCCTTGGCGTTTTTTTCTACATTCAAACCAATTTTACAAAAAAAAATGTCTGGATATCATGTGGATCGATCTGCGCGTTTTCCGGTTGCCAGGCGATCGTGCTTGCCACTGGCCTGATTACGGTTAGAAATTGCTCGATTACTTAACTAATTCCGGTTGCTTAACTAATTAAATAGCAAAAACGTTAACTGGTTACGAAAACTGATCAATCAAAAATTCCGAAAAAAACTACAGAGAACATTGTCAATGATTTTCAACCAACCGACATAAATGATATCTTATTAAAATTTCACACAGAGGCGACGGTGCGCTTTGCAAACACTAGAGAACACGGCAAAAGGCAGCTCTAAAAATTGCAATAAGAAAAAAAACATACGTCTCGAATTAGTAAAAATTCGGATACGTCTCGAATTCGAACCTACGAACGACTACGACCTAGAGATTATGAATTTCACGCACTAAGCACTCAGCCACGGACGCTTAAAAGATGACAACCACTAGTCGCAACTAAGCAGAAAACAGATGCTTTGCAATTTCCAATGCTAGAGTGAAATTTCCATTGGAAAGAAATGCTTTCTGAAATTAGTTTTTGACATAATTTCTATTAGCGCATTTTCGTCAACTCAAAGGTAATTTTTGTCTCATGTTCCAGCCACGATGTCGGTACTATTTTAGATCATAACTCTATTATGTGGTTGGCTAAAACTAATCAAAAGCTAAACAACAACTTTTGTCTGAACTCTTAGCCGTAAAACAGTAAAGACCCTAACTCAAAAATCATAAGGGAGCAAAAAAAATTACGCAGATATCATTACGCAGATATCATTTTTGTCACAATTCCAGAATTGTGATAGAAATGATAAACAATTCAGTCCCAGACCAAAGGGAATTCGCTCACCTGATGCCGAGGTTCAATGTCTCTGAGGTTCCAATCATTGATATGGCCAGCATCATGTTGTTACAAATCTTTGCTGTCTAAACAAAGCACTTGAGACGCAATTAGTTCATAGAAGTTCAAGAAGTTTCACGTCTAGTTAATACACCAGACCTTAAGTACTGACAGACGAGCAAACACCCACCCCCCTGAAATTCACCCCTTTTCATAACATTTTAAAAGACCCATTTTTAAACCATAAAACTTTTTGAACGCACTCAAAGAGCTTCGAAAATGGTCATTTGTGTTTTTGGCACAGCTATATTGACATTTCCTACCTTTTTATCAAATAAAAAAAAACTATAATGCAGATAGCTTGGCAAAATATGTTTTCTGCATTGATTTTAAAGAGCTCATGAAATCAAGTTGGTCGACCCTTCACAAAATACATCTATGATGACGTATATAAATATTATCATAGATATTAAGCGCTGAAAAACTTTCCTATGTGCGCTTATTTTGGAAAAAAACATTTGCTTATATAAAGGCTTTTTAACCGCATCAAAAACGAGGCTTTTTAATCGCATCAAAAACATTTAACGCACCAGTCCTGCACCGACTGGTCCACAATGGAAGAACTTCTGTCCCATCGGTTGCAGAACCTCCTTGGCCAATTCATACTTCTCTTTGTCGCCTCCAACCATGAATGTGAGAGTGGCTGCTTTGGCTGCTGGAACTGCTCCAGACACCGGACAGTCCAGGAAAGAGAAACCCTTTTTGGCCGCCTCTTTATGGACCAGTTGGGCTGAGTCTATGTCTATTGTTGAGGAGTCCAGCAAAAGAGTGTCTTTGTTTGGACCACTGAAACAGTTATGGGCACATTGTAAGAAGAATAATAACAAAACTACAGGCACTAGGAAAAACCCAGTACACTTTTTTGGGCTTCACGAGACACTTTAATCAGGCATCAAAACAGGGTTAGAGTTGATTCAGTATCATCAACCTGGAACAATTTTAAGCCAAGGTATCGAACAATTTATTCAAATTAGTAATACAAGAGCGAGGCATTTAAAACTTATATAATCATTTGGAAAAAGAAGATATTTTTTCAATGAGTATAGAAGGACAAATAATATATATACAAGTGTATAAATGACAGATAAAAAAAGTGTTCAGAAAGCGTGAAAAAGGGTAGATAATGAGATCCGCCGAGTTGCTATCAGCCTATTCTTTGAACTTCGCAAATGAGAGTTTCATAAAAAAAGCTGATCTATAAAGTGAAATAAAAAGTAGAAATAAGTAGAATTTATAAAACTTTTACTGTGTCGTAATCGAGCCTGCTACCTTCGGATTTGGAGTCGCACGTCCTTCCCTCTCAGCCACAGACGCTTAACGATCGGCAAACATTAGCCATAGTGATTATGCGTCCTAGCCATAATTGTTAAGCGTCCGTATGTATTACTAAGAGTCAAATAGGCTTTTTTCCTTTCACCCCCTCCTCACATGAGCATGAGTTTTATGGTGCAGTGAGTGGTTTTACAAGATTGATTATTAAGACCAAATATGTTTGTCATGCCCTATTTAGTGCGCATGTCAATTTTCATAACAATCAAATGATGGGAACAGTATTTTACTTGTAAAAATTTGCAGGTGGAGGGAAAAGGAAAAAGAGCCGTCAAATGGAAATATAATGCAGAACTTCACTCATTAAATCAAACCAGTACTTGATATTACATTTTGTTGTAAAGAACAGAGCCTTCATGCCCGAGAACAGTATAGAAAATCTGTTCTCATGAAGCAGAGAACAGATTCCATGAAATTTTCAATGCTAGAGATCGTCATTATAGCACAAGTACCACCAAATAAACACGTTTATTTGCAAGTTAGCTTGGAAAACAGTAGAGTTTCACTAATACACTACTCTCGCTAGCTCGCTAAAGTGAAAAATCAAACATGAAAAAAAGCAATTTTTTGCAGATGCGATGAATTGAACACTCCAGGGATCAATCCTATAAAATCCGATCGAGTGGCTAATTCGGCGAAACACATCGACCAGCCTCGCCTCATGCAATTCAAATTTCAACCTAACTTTAGCTTCTCCTTTTTCCTTTCACTGTCCCTTCTGCGGCATATAAACAATTTTTAGCATTTTTTGGTCGGTTTGCCCAACAATTTTGCACGGGCTTCCACTGAAAATTAGCAAAAATTCGAGCCGCTGATGCCATTTAAAAAATTTCAGTGTCGGTCAGCCAAAATTAGATGTCGTAAAACAGTACCAAAGGAAACAGAGATGAGTAGTTCCAAAGTTTAGATCTGTACTCCATTTTGTGGAATCAAATTGTTTGGCTTACAGGAAACGGAAGCTCAGCAATTATTTCCAATGATGGCAGATCTGATCTGCCTACGAACATGTTAGGTTACCGACAACCTCCATTTAACAATTGTAAAGTCGATGGGTCGGGTCGATACATGTAACTGTATATCGACGTTCAGAGAAGAGGTGGGGATTTCTTTTTTACTGAGTGTCGACAGTTGCTGTCGATATTGAAGTGGTTGATTCTATGGATCGCAATACGTGCGTCATGGACATTGAAGGGTTGATAGTTCGCCATGGAACACGATGGATAATTTGGCGTCGCAGAAAATAAGCTCAAGAATGTATTGTTAGAATCAAATGGAAATAGAATCCAGAAATGTCACTCAGTAAATTAACTTTGTCTAGTGGAACAGAGCCCTACTGCCCGGCCTCTGATTCATTTTATTTTAGGTCACCAGGGTACAAGTCCTCTGTCTTGTTCCATCGAAGAGAACTTCAATTACCGCAAACGTTACGTTAGGGCTGAGTTATATGCGAATAGCGTTTAATGAGGATGATACTAACTTTATAGTCCCAAATTTAGCAAGAGGTCTGAGGAGTACACTGCGAGCTTAAAGAGTTATAGTGGCCAAGTTAGTTTTGAAAATATTTTAGATGCTGTAGAAACCTTGTGATCCTGATTTTCGGATAAAATTTTCTGTAACTCTCACCCTTTGAGAACCCCGTCCGACCCCAAGTAGACCTCTCTCATGTGTTTGCCCTCTGGTACCATGGACAGAATGGCATTGGCTCGCTTGTCCGCACACATTTCCGCCAGTTGAGAAGGACTGGAAGCTGCCGAGGCCCCTCCCTGCGAGACAAATTTGTCAGTGACCGACTTGGAGACATCGTATACGACGAGCTGATAACCTGTCAATCAAATACAAACGAGTGACCCGTATTCATAATACGCAAAACGATTCATTCAAGTGCGAATTTATGGTTGAATAATATCATATTTTTTTATTAAAAAAATTTTTAGAAATGTTTAACATTACACCCTTCCTCTCATCAGATTCACTGCTCAATTACTCACCTAGCGGTATTTAAAAGAAAAAAATTATGCGATTCTTTTTAAGAATTTATTAAATCAGTCTTTCTCAACATTGAGAGATTTTTGAAATAACTTTTTGAAATTCGATCACGACTGAAAGGGCTTTATTATGATAGACACTTGTCACCTAACAATTTAGCATGTGTCTAAATTGGTGTGGTAAAAATCACCCTCTGCTATGGTTTCTATCCATTTTTAGAAGTCACCAGAACAACAAATGTCTGAAACTGGCAGTGCGAAACTTTAACTTCTTTTGTCTTGGTCGCTTTGCCTTAAGTCAGCCCATTTTGGAAAAAATCGCGAAAAATTTTTAAATTTTAATCGCTTTGTTCGATTGACAAGAATCAACTCTATAAGTAGTAGAGGCAGGGTCACAGACTATGCCAATATTAGAGACCGTAAAGAGACTAAGACTATTGTTGCGATAAAAAATTGTATCAAACCGGGGCTAAATATAGCCGCTGCAGCACAAACAAAAATAGCTTTCGTCAACGTGGCAGTGACATGATTTCGTGCCATTCCAAATAGCGACTTCTATAAAAGCACTTAAAAGCCATCTTATTTTGATATCACGCTAGTCAAAAGACTATTTGTTTTGTCAAAAATCATGAACGATATCCTAATGATATTTGCATTGACTGTAAATATCAAAATATTCGCATTTTCACGTTGTCATTCTTTTCAGAGCTCAAATTATTTTTTGATTTCGGATTGCACATTCTTTCATACCCTCTCAATTTTTCCCAGTATTTGAAGGAACAATCGGTAAACCCCAGTCTGCCAAAACCAATAAGCTTGATCGCTCTTGGAAGAATTTAATATGGGAAAGAAATTTCTTCAGAAAATCCGCTGCCAATGTGTCTGTAGGTATCTGAACCAGGCAAATTGGTCTGCTTTCAAGTTTCTCGCGTAAGAATCAATTATTTGTAATAATGAGAGCATTTTTTGAGCGAGAATCCGGATGAAGAATATTTGTTGAACAGCTGAAGTTAGTGAAAAGTACTCTGATTTAACAAAAAAAGAGAACGTCGGTTCCAAATCATTCTCTTTGGTGTATATTTCGAGGCTCTTCGTGGGATAATACCAGGGGCGGATTTAGGGGGGGCGGACGCCCCCCCCCTCAGGGATTCGACCCCCTGCCGACCCAAAGGGTCCCCCCTTTGATACTTTTTCAGAAATTCCTTTTTGGCCGACCGACCCTAAAATTTTTCTAAAGGCGCCAATATATACTAACTTTGAGGGGGAGCGCGCGCCAAAAAAACGCTATTTTTTGTCAAAATTTTTCAAAGTGCCCAAAAACGGCTTTTTTGACTGTTTTTCAAAAATTTGCCTGCGGCGCAGAAAACTTTGCCAAAATAGGGGCAAAACAGTGCTTTGGGAGAGCTCGAAAAATCAATTTGGTCGACCTAAAAAAAAAAAGGTCGTCAAAATTTTGAAAATTTTTTGAAAATCCGCCCCCCCCTCGAGAAAATCCTAGATCCGCCCCTGGATAATACAACAATTTCAGGCCTAGTTTTCATAGCTTAAAAACGAACCGTAATAACTTTTTGGCCATGTTCAATCCGTTTTTTGCTTCCTTAGTGAAGTTTATAATTACTTATGACCGCATTTTTGATGACTCACAACTTTAAAGGTCAAATATTGAGAGAACGCTATCAGAGAAGATTTCCCAATCTAGAGTGATTGGGTTTTCAGTGATCTCAACTCTTTTTGATGAGAGCCATTCAAGTTTACCTGGATAATCTTTTCAAAACTTTTTTCCGAAGAGTATCAATAGCTCCTCTATATCTTTTTCATAAGCACTCGCTAAACTCAAATACTTAACAGAACTTAAACGTAGTTTTCTTTATAACTCAAATTTATACAATGCAATCATCATTTTTTGCCCTGTTAAATTTTTGCTGGTTCCTGATAACAGAAGTCGACTCCCTGCTGCTGCAGTGCATATTTTGATTTGTTCAACTTACAAACAGCTGTGTAACATTTTAAAGTAACATCTTGAGATAAACTTCTTCATTCAACTTCGCATGAAGATATGCTGGTTTCATATCTGAATCACGAAGTCTGCAATTTTCTTTGGGTGCTAGAGAAGTGAATCTATTTTGTTTGGCATTCCTTCTTAACGCCGCTCTTGATCGCTTGATCCGGTTGCCAGTTTAAAAGTTTCCTATTCTATAATTTGTGATATTTGTCACTCCTGTGTATAAAAAAAATGAAATAACTTTGTCAAGGATTTCTAGATCTGCGAGATCGATTCACACTTTTTATGATATTATAATGAGATTTTTTAAAACTATTTTTGAATTTTGGAACAATATTCGGCCCACCGATCAATTAAATCTACATAATGTGAAGCAGTTTTTTTTTTAAATCAACCGCAACAGCAAGGCGAGAAATAGTGTTCATTTGATCTTGCTTTGAACCTAGAAGATTTGGGTGCCCAGGCTCATTAGACCTAATTTCAATGACTAATTTTAGAGTTATGTTCCTATATCCTCCTGATTTTTTTTAATTTTCCTTCTTTCACGCTACATTGCTGATTTAAATTATCCGGACAAAACGCATTAAAATAGAAATTTAAAACGCATTTTGCACAAATTTGGTTGACATTAGGTGAAAATGAGGACAAAAATTGCTTAAAATGTAAGCAGAATTATAATGGTACAATTTGGATCTTTAGCAAAGTGCAATTATAATAATGGATCTTTTTTGGCTTTTTCAGTCAATCAAAACTACGCCAAAACTAATAGATTGATCACTGACATAATTAAACCAAAGTGCGCCTCTAACGTAGCCCAACAAACTTTAGCCATGTTATACTTTCCAAAAAATTCTATATATAAATTTATATTTGTTTGATAGACAAAAAAGGTCGTTTTCACAACTGAAAACACCAATTTTTTTATTTAAAAGCAATTTTTAAAAATTTTGCGCAATTTTTGTGGAGAGTATACCTTTTTAAGTTTGTTGGGCTAAGTAAAGGGCTCCCTTTGATTAAATTACGTTAGAGATCGATCAAGTAGTTTTGGCGTAATTTTCATTTGACTGAAAAAGCCAAAAAAGATCAATTTTTGGTGCAAAATAATGGGTCCGAATTTCTTAAAACAAATTGCATCATAATAATTCGGCTTAAATTTTTAGCAAGTTTAGTCAGCATCATGTTTTACGTTAAGTCAACCCAATTTGAGAAAAACGCGCTGCAAATTTCTAGTTTAATGCGTTTCGTCCGGATAATTTAAATCAGCACTATACTGCTATCCTCACCAATCCATTCAAAAACAATGTCTGTAATGGTTTCTTCTGATTCACTAGTTTGCGTTTCATTTACTGTACGTTGTTCAACACTTGTGTCCAGGTTGAAAATAGTTGTTGAAATTTGCAGATTTTTACTTTCAGGTTGAGCTGGAAAAACAGGTTCAATGAAGATTACAATTTTTGCTCTCTAAATTTTGAACTAATTTAGCCGTGCTATGGCCATAATTGCCGTAAAAAAACTGTTTTATGACCTTAGATCATTTTTGATTTCATAAGATCATTTGTTTTTATCTGGGCAAGTTATTCAAAAACTCAAATTTTTTGCTGAAATTCAATTGAAAATATTGTAATGTTGAATTTGGGTTGTTAGATTTATTTAGTAAAATACGAATGTGGTTTGCTGTTTCTAAAAATTGAACCCGGTAAATGTTACTAAGTCTTGAAAATTTTGGAAAACCACAAGTAATTCTAATTTCTGTTCAGTTTTATCGTTCTGCTAAACCAATTTGGGCAGGAAGATGATGGGCTGCAAACTCGTTTACGATCAGAAAATAAAGAAAGCTCTGAGTTTTTTTTGCAAATTATTCCAGTATCGTTATCAGTCCAAAGAATTGTTGAAAAACGTTTTTTATAACAAACTTCTCTAGTGTTGCAAACTTTTGTATCATGTATTTTACTTGCCAAAGTCATCACAAAAAATAATTACGCGTCAAAAACCTTTATGCATGAAAGTTTTACGGGGCTTAGTGCATGACACAAAGTTATGAAAACGCTTATTAGTCAGAAATATTCATAACTTAATTTCGCGAAATTTTAGCATGAGCTCAAACTGCGCCTATTTGGTTTTGAGCTTACATTTTTGATGGTACTGTGGCTTTTTATTCCATTCCTACAATTGAAATGATCAAATATTCTATGCCAGCTTTTGGGTTCTTGTTCGTGCTTGAATCAATGATTAACCGAGCGTTCTCAGCAAGATGCAGTATATGGAAGCGGATCTTGTTAACTATTACCCCCCCCCCCCCCCTATTTCGATTTTCAGAAATTCAACTTTGGCGGCCCCATTTTCAATAGCTTACAACAGTTTTCAGAAAATGTATGTATAAAATATGCATGTCAAAAATGTCAACAATTAAGAAGGTTTTCATTTTAGGTATTCGTATTTGTATTACTCACTATTTATATAATACCCACGTAAAAATTTTAAATATATATATATATATATATATATATATATATATATATATATATATATATATTTAAAATTTTTACGTGGGTATTATATAAATAGTGAGTAATACAAATACGAATACCTAAAATGAAAACCTTCTTAATTGTTGACATTTTTGACATGCATATTTTATACAGAAATGGTTGTCAAAAATAATACATGCATAGGGGGAAATAGATAACAAGGTCCAAAGGGGGGGGGGGGCGTAGTTAACAAGATACATGGAAGCAAAAAAGAATGCATTTTGATCAATCTTAAAATTTTGTCGTGTCATCATTGATTGTAAAAGTTTTCTTGTTTTTCGTGTCTGACTGCATAATCCTTTTGATCTCACTTGAAACAGAACTGATTTTTACTTTTTAACGGGTACATGAAGTACATATTGTTCAGTCAGAGTTTGAGTTTAGCTTCTTCAACTATTTGGGATTTTTACCTGCCAGACAGTTGTCAGACAGTTATAATTATTGAACCATCCTATTTAACTAGGCAAAAAAAACGTGATCTAAATCTAAATTTCACTCGTTTGCTTGTTGAAATCAAGTGTCTACTTGTTTATTGTTGCCCAGTGTAGGTTAAACTAAGATTTGGGTGGTAGATCAATAAATTGATATGTCAGTAAGCCGAAAACCAGATCAGTACACAGACCAGATCTTTTCACAAAAACCCCCAATTATTACATCATTCAACATACTAACTAAGATTCATATTTGTACAATAAGTATTTTTCGCAACATTTTATTTCACAAATTACAATTCGAACAAAATTGAAATGAAAAGATTCTTTCATTATCATAGTAACTTTCATATTATCAAACCTAAAAATCTTGCGAAATACAAATTAAATAATTATTTCGTAATTCGATTTACTGTCCTGGCATGGCAAACTACTGATATTTCGGTGTAAATAAGTAGCTTAGATTTGATGATAAGTACCTTTGTTGACCATGTTGCGTGCCATTAATGAGCCCATGTTGCCGAGGCCGATGAAGCCAGCCACCTTCTGAGCAGCCGCCATTGCAGATCTGAAAACACGCTGGGGGTGAGGTGAGACTAAATGAAGATGGTTTCAGAAAAATAACATAGGATAAAAGCAAAGTAGTGTCTCTGAACAGTCTGACTTAGAGGAGCAAGGGGCCTTAGAGGAGAGCCTCAGCAGACAATTTCCAGTTCATAAAAAATACATTTTCAGCTATTACCCGGGTCAAGGTTGTGGTTTAATGATCAGACCAAATTTGAGTGTTTTCAGACCGAAACTTGATATTTCCAGACTTTACAGACCGAGAAAATGTGTGCGCGACCGGTACACCGCAGTAAAGTTAGCCACGAATGGCGCGACCGAAAGAAAGTTAATCGCGACCGAAGGAAAATTAACCGCGACCGGCGTGACCCAAAGAAAATTAACCGCGGCCAGGGTTTGCCATTTATCTTTTGACCAAAAATTGGCATGTTTCGACCGTCTCGTCCCAAGCCATCTGTTTCGACTATGGTCGACCGAGGAAAAACGTTTCAACCAAATAAAAAGTTTTGACAAAGTTCAACGAAGGTAAAACGTTTCGACTGAGTTCCATCGAGTAGTTTTCAACCGAAAGAAATTTCGACCGAGAACAAACAATTCGACTATGTTTGACCGAGGAAAAACGTTTCAATTGTGTTAGAATGGTGAAAACATTTCGACTGATAACAAAAGAGGGTATTTTTTGATCGAATAGAATTTCGACCTAGAAAACATATTTTGAATTTGGTCAAATATTTTGCCCGAGTTCGACCAAGGGATTTTTCTACTCGACGAGTTCAATCGACAAATAGCTTCGAACTTCCAAAAAAATATCAATATATACCAATTTGTGGCCGAAAAAAATCAGAACACAGGGAGAATAATATCTTTATTCAGCAGCAAATTTTCAATAAAAACCGCAGGATTCTACTGAGCCTGATTTGACCCAACTTTTTCGCTATCTGGTTGATGAGTTAGCAGTTTATGAAATGTATAGTCTAGTCTAAAAGCAGCTCTCGAACTACGGAATCATTAGAAAATTGTAATATATTTCTTAAAATGAATGTTCGAAAGTTCCAAGCAGTTCCACTAACGCAGTTCCACTAACTCAATTCAGGGTAGAAACATGATCATACTTAACATCTGAAGGAAAAAATTGTTTTTAAAGAACTATTAGGAATTTTCAAACATTCAATTCATGAAAAAAATTACAATTGCCACCAACGGATTCCCGTAATTTGAGTTGGTTTAGACAATACTGTATGCTTAAAAAAACTGTTATATTCTGCTCTTTATATCCATTTTATTCAGCTTTTTATCGGCTCAATTTGAGACAAAATAGGGTATTTTGGAGGAATTTCGGGACAATTTTGGATTTCTCATAAAAACTATCGCAAATGTTGTGCCGGAGAAATCTGAAAACATACAATTAACAAGACAGCTCGTATCAGGGCGAAGCCCTGAATGTTCCGACTGCCTTTTAAGGTTTATGGAGCAGTAATAACATTAAAAAATTCAATGAAATAAAACAAAATGAAAAATTTTTTTTTCTAAAATTTGAAATTTTTTTATGAAAATCATCCCCCCACACGCCATATAAAGTACAAAAGGATAAATTTTGCTCCTTGTAACAAACCATTATGGCAGATAAGCTTCTTTTAACAATTTGGAACGATTTCTAAGACGGATTAACTCTCCGCTTACGCGTTAATAGAGCGAAATATATCGCGCGTTAGTTGTCCCAAATTGGCCAAAATGACAATCTTTAAACCCCCGTAACTTTACGAAAAATGACCACAGGTGAAATATCTTTTCAAATATGAGCTCAGGACAACAATACCTTTTGAATGATATAAAAAAATTCCGTCAAAAATGGCTAGTTAAAAAGTCGAAATTTGTCTGAAAAAAAAACCCACCCCGAGCACAAATATTCCGTTACTTTCGTATCGAAAGTCGGAACAATTACAACAATAGTGTAAACATTTGATACAAGTTTCTGCTAAGAAAAATAATTTTGCTTGAAATTTTTTCAGAAAGACTCCTAATTTTAGCGGAACTTCAATTTATCAGAAACTGTTAAATTTATCACTGCGCCATACATCAAATTCTGCTCTCTGCTGGTCTATATAATTCTCTGCTCTACAAGCACGATTCTGCTAATTTCTGCTGCTAGCCGAAGTATACTGAGCCTGGGCCAAAATGATTACCTTGAAATGATCCGTGAAATGCCTAGTAGCAGTAACCTGGTTTGAATCAAAAAGTTGTAGAGAGATAAACTTAGCAGGTGCGCAGGCATTGCTGCTTCATGATTTTTGTTACATATATATTTTAAAAACCGCTTCGAACTATTCATTCGAATACAGTAAGAAAACAAAGTTGCTTCAAATTTCACATGAATTACCATTGTGCAATTTATACTGTGAAATCCGCAACCAAAAACTTATCCCAAAAGATTATTTGATAAAAAGTCATATAAAAAAGCCTTTCACATAGCCCAACAAAGTTTTGGAAAAAGAAATCTTTTTGCGTAAAACGCAAAATGTGCTTTAAAGTTTTTAAATTTGTTTTTAAGCAAAGATTTCGAGTTTTATAGGGCAAAATGATCATTTTTAAATATCAAGCAAAAATATACTCTCCTCTCCTATACAGATTTTTGCCTTCTCAAACTTTGCTGGGCTTTGTGAGAGGCTTCTTTTGATAGGACTATTTCTTCAATTAACCAGGTAGTTTTAGCGTAATTCTTGATTAACTAAAAAACAAAATGACCTAATTTTGGGTTGCGATTTTAGTTGCGAATCTCGCAAAATAAATTGCACCATGGTAATTGTGGCAAAATTCGAGGCAACTTTTGTTCATTTCCATTTTTGTCTAATTTGCACAATATTCGGGAAAAACGCGTTTAAAGTTTCGAATGTTTTTAGTTTTGTCCGGTTAATTTAAATAAGCTCTGTACGTGTTCATTGCACTAGAAACTAATAATTGTTGAATGACTTAGTAGTTTTTAATTATTCTTCAATGATTGTTAAGGATCTGGTATCTCGAATGTCCTCTCCAAAGTTCCCCCTGGCTAGGTATCCTGGTTGAGCCCAATCTTTTTAGTTTTGCTACCCATGTTCTAGACTGTGTTTCATCGGAAATGATTGAAAAATTTCAAATCGCTCTAAAAATTATTCTGTTCGCATCAAAAAGAGCTCATAAATTTTAACTCAAATAAAGTTGCTAAATAGCCAACTGTAAATAACATTTGTATTCAAGCGAGATTAAAACTAAACAAGCGGAAAAGAAAATAAAACGACATTTTGGTATGCAAACAAAACATTCACACCAATTTTAATCCAAAACTGATTAGTTTCCCAAACAAAGCTGAAGAAAAACTGCGTGGCCAGTAATTGTTACCAAACAGGCAATTCAGATAAGAGGTATCACACTCTTCAGATTAAAGAGCAATGACTAGAGGCTATCGCGGAGCTCTGGTCATTTTTTGGGTATGAAAGGTCTTCTGGTATGAGAAAATTGGTCCCCAATAGCGTGCTGATGGGGGATGGGATGAGCATGGTCGATCTACCCTTAAATTTTAAAATTACTTTCGCACCAACGTACACTTTTTACGGGTAGGGGAGCAGGCGTCGCAAATGCGATGGTTTATCTACTCTTCCAAATAGTCTTTCGGAAGTCCTATTTTGTTAAAATTGCCTGCCTCATTGAAAACTATAGTTTAATAGGAAAATTCTTGATCTTCGGGGGCGCTCGGAAAACCAAAATGACTGACATATACCAAAATCGTATTGTCTTAACGAGATATAAAACACGATAGTATTAACTAAAAGAATGATGTTTTCGGACAATACTATTAGACACAATTTAATTGATTTAAATCAACTGCCATCTGAATTGCCTGTACACTCATTTTTTTCATATCAACCTTCGACAATGGAAAGTGAAGTGAACAAGTGGGACCCACCAAACCCATTCGAGACCAGTCAGGCACTGAAGGGCGGAGATGTAACACACAAAAATGAAAAAGGATATTTAGAAGACATATCGAAGAAAAAATTATTCAAGGTAGAAATTTCAATCTAATGGAGATTCAGTCAAACAAAATATCTCATATAAACATTTTTCACCAATCTTAATAATATTTTCAAAACAAATCCACACTCAAATTTTAACTCATATCTGAGGACCTTTGAAGATCTTATCATTTGTCAAGTAAATAAAATATTAAACATCTATGTCCCATAGTTAGCCATCTGACCGAACTCCGCTAAAAAAAACACGCAGACTAAGTATAAGACAATGCTTTAAGGCTGAAATCATCCGAAGTTGGAAGACAACTCGTGAGTTCCTGATGCCGCAGTTAGGAGGGGAGAGGAGCAGAGTCGAGATTATGATCTGGCTGCTAGTTTACTCGGGATTGGCTTACTCCATGGCCAGACAGAGCATACAACTGTACCAAGTTAGAAAATACTGCCAATATTAATCATCAAACATTTTGTTTTGATACCTCTGCTACAAACGTTTGTTGTATGGCTGCTTGTTTTGAAACTCTTAAATGAAATTGAAAGCCTGAATATTTCATAGGAATACCAGACTCAGCAGCCGTATGTGGTGGTGAGCATGGACTCTCAATACCCCACGCAGTTCCCTTCCATCTCAGTCTGCAACAAGAATGTCATATCCGCTTTCAACGCAGTCAAATACGCAGAGCTCAACTCACTCTACGGAGTCGAACGTAAGACAACGGACGACTCATCTACACTCGCGGCACACGCACAAACTAAACACACCATTCTGATTCTGACGATGAAGATAATTTATTTGAATGGTGTTTAATTAAATTAATAAGACACCATTCAAATAAATTATCTTCGTCGTCAGAACCAAAGATGTTTTCTGCACTCTTTGAGACAACAGGATGGTAATTCAAAAATTTGTTCGCCATGGCAGAAAACAAGATGATATGTAACGAAAATGGTAGCGATTAGGTAGCAAGAGGTACTTTAAACACGCCGTACAAAGGAAAAACATGAATAATAATTGCCTGATGCTCTGCAAGTAGCACAGAAAGTTCATACCGCGGTTATTTTGGATCTCTTTAACAATCGCTTTCCCTATGATACCTACTAAATAATTGCCATCCATATAAATAAAAACAATAAATTAGCTCTAAAACATTCGATTTATAAATAGAATTTTGCAGCATTATGATTGGTTGAAATATCGATTAACGTAAATTACTTAACAATTACCCCCTTTTCTTGAAGGGGAGGTAGATATTGTTAAGTAGATCCGTTAATTTTTCTATTTGTCGCTTTTTAGTGCGTGGATTGAGCAGATAAACTCAAGCTCTTGAGAACTTTATTAAGCGTTTTAACTGACCACAGTTATCTTATAGCATTACTTGCGATACATAGCAAACATAGCACGGCCAGCTAGTTAACGAAAAATGACGAAAGTCTCTAAGTTGAAAAAATGGAATGGGTATAAAAAAAATTAGATCTCTCTAACTCTCTAAAAATTCATAGCACGATTTCCCTCGAATGTAATTAATTTCGAGGAACGCATGTCGAGAAAAACAAAAGCCGGTGTACAAAAAGCATGGAAGCAATATTTACTAAGCGGTGACTAAGCCCACATTCTTGAGGCCGATACTCGTTGAGCCAAAAAAAATGATGCCATGAGAACTAAAGCTACAGAAAAATTTCTATGAAAAATGAAATCTATTATCATGAAGATATATGTTTGCCCTGCAAAAGACGCAGTATTAAATGACTAAGCCAATATAACCTACACCGATTTTACCTATGAAATGAATTAAACAAAATAAAACCGTAAAGAATTATACAAAATCGGAGTTGATCAATATAGAAGCAGGATAATGAAGAGAGGGTATTTTAAAAGCAAACACGCGCAATTTATGTCTGTTAACAAGTAGTGCAGGTATGAAGATGAAGACTAAGAACAAAAATAGTTCCGGAGAAAATTCTGGTACCCGGTTGCACTGCACTTACTAAAGCAAAAGTGATAACAAAAAAGAAAACTTTCTTCCAAAAAATTTACCAGAATTTTTTTTCACATTTCAGATTCATCTTTTAGTTTTTAAAACTCTAAGAGCTGAGGAAGCGCTAAACTAAAGTTCAAAAATTAGTTTGATTTTACTTTTTGAATTTTTTTTGAGAGCTTTTTGCGTTACTCGCTACAGAGTACACTAAAAGCAGAAATGTTAAAACAATTTTCTTGACACTAAAACTTTTGATGTCGATTGACTTACTACTCCAAGGGCTTTAATGTGATATATCACTCAACCCATTCTGATGATTATTGGTGGTACCTGATTTAGCAAGAAAAAAATGATACAGCACCCTTTTTAGTGATCGGAACAGTAAAAAAAAATCGATACATTAACATCTTTGATTGAGTACCATAAATTAAATAATTGAATTTTTTGAATTAATAATTCTGACTAATATTTAATCGTTCTTTGTTCGTTTTTATAATCATTTATAATCATTCCACTTAAACTCATAAAGGCAGAGTCCTATATGAAGGAGAGACTATCTTAAAAATAATAATATTAGGAAATCAAAATTGAGTATTCAAAAATCTCGAAAAAACATGCAATTCAATTTCGGCCGAATACCAAATTAGTAGAAAATGCAATTGAGCTGGTACGTCTATCCGAAATTGATTCCAACTAAAATTACCACTATTTTTATGAAAAAGCCAAAAAGAGGAAAATGTTTTGTTTGTATAGCTTTAAAATTTTAATTACAAACTTTTATTTAATGCCGAGTACTCGCCCATTTCAGAGAACCTGGCCTCCCGAGTAGCCAGTGGCGTGAACGCTCTGCGATCCAGGGGTGATTTTGAAGCAGGTTTCGCCCTCGAGAACCTGTGTATCTCCCTCGTTTGCCCCATACAGAACAGTTCGTGGGAGGATGAGTCTCATTTGTGCATTCCGAACGAGTGGCTGTGCGATGGGTTCAATGATTGTCTCCTAGATTCCGAAGCAGGAACTTCTTGGGACGAGACAGAGTACATGTGTGCTGTGAGGGAGGCCGCAAATTTTTCACAGGTACATAATGATAACAATGAAAAAATCATTTAAATGCCAAGATAAGGCTGGTAATTGCAATGAAATAGCTGGAAATATTTAATGTTGAGATCGCTCGAAAAAAAAATTTTGTTCTCCATAGCTTCAGATTTGTGACTAGTTTCAAAAACCACAATAAAACATCATCTTAACTTCAAACTGACCAACAAAACTGAGTGAAAAGCCTTCTTTTGAGTGTCTATTTAAGAGTGACTGAAGCAGAAGCTGATTTAGGGAAGAACTCTTGTACCCCTCAGCGAATTGTTCCCATGAACAGCCAAATCGAACACTCTGGTACATTTTTTGTGATAACGATTTTTGGCCGACCAACCCTAAAAACTTTGTAAAAGCACCTTTCGCGCCAATATACACTAAATTTGAGGATGAAGCTCGAGCTGAAAAAAACGAGATTTTTTGTCCAAACCCTTCCAAAATAAAACACCTAAAAAACTTTTGATTATAGCCTTCTATTTTGTGAAAGGTATGAAGATGGAACCTTGAAAGTTACGTGATACAGATATTACAAATGATCTGAAAATATCAAGCAATTACGAAACTTGATTCGGTTTGGCATCAAGATTCGGTTCAAAGTCTGCTAAGATAAGTTAATTTTTATGAGATAGTCTTCGAAAATTACATAACATACTTACTTACTTAGCTCGATGTAAAGGGCCATCAAAACATATTTAAAATAAATATCCGAAAGGTGAATGCCGTACATAAAGACATCTTAATGTAAGCACTTGCAAAGGAATGAAAAAAATCGAAACAACCACAACAAATAACTTCAAAACCCGTCCATAAACACAATCGACGGTGTTTATTGAAAATTCAAAAGCAATTATATAGAGGCAACTGAACCGACAGAACATGAGTAAATTCCCATAGAACCGAACACAAAACTATGAATTCTATTTTAAGATTTTTAAACATTTTGTATGATTCTGAGGTGAGCATGAAAACTATGTTTTCCTTGAAGGAACCAAAATTAGGTCACCAACCCAATAAAAAAAATAGCCGAAATCATTTGGGCCGAATTAAGTTCTAAGAAAAAATGAAAAAATACGAAGTCAAGGTTAGTAAATTTACAATTAGAAGAGTGAATCCAAACATTAAAAGCAACTACAATGAAATGTGCGTACATCAAAAAAAATCTAAGATATGGCAACTAAACCGACAAAACATAACGAGTCAAATAAAAGGCCAGTAATACTTTTTGAAACGCAAAATTTCCCCTATGAAAAAAACAGGCCCTGGTCAGATTCGAACCCAGGAACTTTGCTGAAACAAACGTAATAGTTACCTCTACACCAACTGTGTCGCAGACCCTAAAAACTTTCGATTCATTATTAAAGAAGATACCAAATGATTCAAGTGACTTTGTTTAACAAGTTGTTTATCCGAAATTTTTTTTTGTTAAGTACAAAGGGATGTAATCAGCGTCTATCAACTAAATTATAGTTCCAAAAAGATTGCCTCAAATCAAACTTGGAACGATTTGAGCCGGATTAAACATTGACTACCGCTGAAACAGTTCGAAATTTATCGCGCGTTAATTGTCCCTTAGTTACTTCCAACTCAGGCCTGCCAACTTTTATGAAACGAAATATGAACCTGGGACCAAACCTTGAAAAACGAACTTTATATGAACCTAAGAGAGCATTTTCTAACTATCAGAAAAACATGGTCAATTAAAACATTTATTTCTTGACAAATACTGAGTCAATGAAAACTGCAGACTGTTGATCCAATGTGACCATAGAAACAGTTCGTAGGTTATGGAGCAGTTCCTTCTTCTTTTCAAGAGCTTCAAGAGCTTTTTAAGCCTCGTCAATGCTAGAATCAACTTCGTTCACCTGGTTCTTGAGAGCCAATCATCGTACTACAGTTATCAATGAAATCAGAAAGCAATTTGGTATTTGTAGACACAAAAGAGTCAGTATCAACATTGACATTTAGTACCATGGTCCTCAAATATCGATTTTTTCGAACACCGTCCGCATAGTTAACAACTCAAGAGTTCATCCCTTGTTTTACCATTATAAGATGTTTCCTCGAGATGAATACCGACAAACTTGTCTTTGACTTCATTTTTCAAAATAGTACGAGCGTATGGGGCTATTACGTAAACTGCCACATAGGTTGCTTTTGTCTTTCCACATTTAATATTAGCGTGGCCCGAATCGGAAAACATTTGTTTGCAATTCCCGCGAGCACTAGATGCCGAATCACTGGAAGCGAAAGACTGGCCGTTCACTACAATATCAAGAACATGAATAATAAGTGCTCTCAATCGCTGGCAATCAGTCTGAGAAGATGTTGCTGTCCTAATGTCGGGAGTCGCGGCGCGCGCAGTTACCGCTTTCTTGTGGAGCTGAGTCTCTTCATGTATCTTTAGATCGAACCGCCCATGTGAAATCCGAAAAACGCGATTATCCAATATGCATCGGACTTGGTCCTGGTTCTCGAAAAAACTTTCGAAAAAAATGAAGGTATAAAAAAAAACTATATAAAATAGATGTTCTAAAAAATGTGAACTCTGGCTCAAATACGAAACAAATATGAACCATATGAACTAGTTCATATAATGAACTAGTTGGCAGGCCTGTTCCAACTCTTTGAGAGTAGTCGAAACAAAAAACCAAAGTTTAACGCTACCGAGACACTCGCAACAAAAGACAACTCGTAACAAAAGACAACTCGCGAGATGTCGCTTTTTCTGAATTTTTCGAGTTATTTTTTGTTACGAGTTGTCTTTTGCTTCGAGTGTATCGGTAGCGTTAAGCTTACGTTTTTTGTTTCGAATACTCTTTTATTTTTAACCTTGCGAGCTGTCGCTTTTTCTGAACTTTGCAAGGTTCAAAAACAAATTAATATTTGAGAACTAGTAGGAGCGGGGCTATAACCGGTTCTGAACTTCGAATTAAGTCCTACATTCTGTTGGCAAGCTCGCGACACGTTGGCGCGACTGCAGCTGAGAGTTTATTGTTCCGACCATTGAAAATGGGGAGGAACTTTGTATTCCGTTGTTTTAGTTTTTTTCTTCTTTTTGTTTTCCACGCAAAATCAGCTACCAAAAATAATCATCGTGCAGGGTTGAGTGATATATCATTTTAGAACCCTTCAGTCGTATTCGAACCATTTTTAAAAAATTCCAAAAATTTTTCCCAGTGTCGAGAAAAACCGGTTTGAAATTTTTGATTTTTCGTCTTATTTTGAGCGAGTGAAGAGAATGAAATAAACTCAATACTCCCGCCCTTGATAAACCAATTAAATGCTTGACTTAGTTTTTTTCTTCAAAAATGGGCGATTTTTTTTTTTTCATTGTCCGATATAAGATCTTTCTAAGGCCCAGAAGCTCTAACTGAGCGTGGAAATCGCTTCTAATAAATGGTATTCTCACTTATCCTGTCACGCCTTCTTCTGTTAATATCCAGGTGTTCAACATGTCCAGACCTCTTTCTCTAGAGTGTGCTCTTGGTTTCATTGCATGCACTGAGTACACGTGTGTGCCCATATGCGACTACCGGCACAAACCAGAATGTGTCTACGGAGACATCCCAGAGAGTCTCATGAGTGCAATTAATTGTTCAAACTGGAGCAAAGAAGATCTCTACACGCGAAGAAGTCAACAAGACTGGATCTTCGATCTGGTTCGGGGCAGAGTTGAAAAATCAGCGGTAATTTTAGATGCGCAGACGATGCAGAAAATTAAAGTTTGCTTCAATCACAACATTTTCAATAATCAATTTACAGTTAAAGGCTTAAATTAACACCGTCTAATTTATTAATCGAAATAGTTGAAAACTGAAAAAGTTTAAGCACCTCTCAGTGGTCATCATAGATCACAACCATCTATGCACTGAAAAAACTCGAATCATTTTAGATTGAGAGACTCCGTAGACAGAGACGACAAGTGACAAAAGGAGTAGAAGACCCTAATTGGGCAAGCTTGGGAAATCAGGACTGGAGAAAGATCTACATGGACACTCTCGAGGGAAACATGACCATGGACAAGATACCAACAGGTAACAGGTGAGAGGAAAACGTATCAAGTTAATATTGCATACAAAATTGCTACCAGTGCCACTCTAGAAAAAACGTTGTATCAGCATGAGATTTCCGATTCAAGCTAGAAAGACTCGAAACTAATGTTTACAACACATTTAGACACTGCAAACATCGAACAGCAAAAATGATGGTGCAGTTTTAAATTGAATCACTGATATTGGGAGGTTCAAATTATCACTCTGCCAACTTGGTACTACTAGCAAAAAAGAATCCTTAACTTAATTTTCGTTCAACGAAGCTCATACTTTCTTTACGAGAACATCTTCCCAAGTTCATACACTATACATCTATGAACTGCCTAAGTTTGTTTTTTAAAAACATTCTGAGATTCATAGTGAAGCTTTTGTAAATGACAATTTCGTGTTAAAAGATTCATCATACAATATCACAAGGGCTACGAGAAGCTTGGTTAACATTCGTGTATCTTTGAGCTATCAATTAAAAGAGTATCTTTATGCAATCGAAATGCAACTTATAACAATATTTTGGAAGAGAAAACAATCAATCATCCTAAAAAAGAACTTGCAATTTTTTTCTGAAGTGATAACTATGCCCATCAAATTCGAGATTTATTTATTGTAAGAAACAAAGATTTGACTACTTTATTCACATAGGACACAGGAGCTTTGTCTAATCATTAGAGAGAGAGAGAAATGCTTAACTCCTTTAATAGAATAACAAACTATGAAAAAAAAAGCAAGTAATGAAACTAGCTTTACAAGAAATACATCATTAGAGACAGAGTCGAAGCTGAGCTTCGCACCACTTGCGATACAACACAAGCATAAAAAAGAAGTCGAAAAAATAAGTTAAAGAAAAATTTAAAGAAACCAAAACATTCTCAATAAAAAAATAAGTTTGTTTTACTTATCCTGGATCAAAGGGGTAAATTCAAAAATTGGACTTTACCCGAAACCTTAGTTGCTTCTACTAAAATAAATGAGAAAAGTGAAAACTTTTAAGAAATTTCTATCTTCCCAAAAACATAAAATTTTCATCACAAAAAATGAGGAGTCGCCAATTCTGAAGGAAAATTTCTCGCAACCGGTTATTTCGATTGAACCCTACATCTCAAAATTCATAGGATAGTTTCTATGAAAAGCAAAATGTTTCTAAAAACTATGATAAGTTCAAAAACTTGTCTTTCCGAAATCTATCACTTTTCGATAAAAGTCCGAAATCTATCACTTTCCGATAAAAGTCAAGTTTCCAAAAAATGGTCAAAAACTAAAAAACTGATTTTTCCGTGAATCATACCTTTTTGAGTGAGCCGTAGCCGCTTGAGCAGAAGATGCTTCGATTGAAAGCAAAAACTCAAGATTTGAGAGTTTCGTTTTCGAAAACAGTTTAAAAAGACGGTACAAAAACCAATCGTTGTTTCGATTGAAAGCAAAATCAAAAGATTTGAGAGTTTCGCTTTCGAAAATAATTTCAAAAGACGATAAAAAAACAATAATTGACGTTTCCGAGGGCCATAACTTTTTGTAAAATATTGGGGGTAGCTGCCATGCAGTTGAACTTCCCATAACGCGGTCTATCCATTTAACCCAAAAACTCACATTTGATAGAAAAGTTACCGAGTAAAAGAAAAAAAAACAATCCCAAAAATATGGGTCAAACATTCCCCACATACTTATTCGAAGGCTGCAGACAGTAGGGTACAGTACAAAGATACAAGGGGGTTAAGCAGGCACACAGGGTAGTAAGCGCTCTTTTCATTGATATGCTTTTTTTGAAATTTCGGTAGATAGGTTTCTACTGACCTAAAATTTTTGTTGAAACGTGAAAAAAACTTCGAAAAAGTCTCAAAAAAGTAGAAATAAAAAACACAATCCCATAGTTTTTCAAAATTCTTGATTTTGTCAAACAGGAAATTTTTACCCTCAAAATTACAAAATATAAGTTGACTAAGCCGACGCAACATCAGCTGAAACCATTTAGTCGAAAAAAACGTCAAAGTTATTCAAAATCTGACGTGGTAAAATGACAACTTTCAACAATAAAAAAAAATAAAATACATGCTTTACAAATTAGTTTGATAAATAAAACCATCAGATAATAATAATGATACTTAAAAAAACGAAAAATGAACTGAGGGAAGCTAGCCCAAAACCACGAAACCGAAAAAAAACAGTAACATTTTTCGATAAATTCATTTGTGAAAATAATCACTGTCCCAGTAGTACTCCACCAAATATCTTAACTACCTAGATGAGGTACTTTTATTTGAACTTTCGAGAAATTGAGCACGTCTTGAAAATTACCATTCCTAGGTCGACCATTCTGTGACTTAAGTTATTTACGGGAAAAAAGTCTAGTACCCTGTTGCAATACACTTATTTATCGCAAGGGTAAAAAACATTACACAGAGGCGTAGCTGCTCTTCCCAAACACAAGCGAGGAAAATGCAAAAAAGATCTCTAAACAGGCAAAACAAAGTGAAATAAGGAAAAGGTTAAAAAGACACCTAGAGAAACTTTTTTGCAAGGCTTGGTAATAACACGTTCCCCTATCTGCTTCATGACCGCTTGTAATTTTACTAACACTAGCCACCAATAAAGCAGCTGCAGTTTCTATCAAATTGCCAATGCGATGCAGGAAAAAGTCGACCAAAAAACTAACTATTTCAATGTTCCGGTTTGGATCTCCTACCGATTGATTAGGATTTCCACTTCCTTAGCATCCCGCCATAGACGCTTGGAAGAAAAACTAGTTGCCCAGATTTTGCTAGATTCACATGTTTCAATATTTTGATCATATTTTGTACTGATACCGAAATGCGTAGTTTTGAAAATGGACTAAACAACTGAATTCAAAACTAGTTGCACAGATTTTGCTAGATTCACATGTTTTAATATTTTGATCATATTATGTACTGATACCGAAATGCGTAATTTTGAAAATGGACTTAACAACTGAATTCAACCTTTCAACTGAATTCATTATTTCAGATTTGGCTGGGTAGTTTTCGAAAAAAAAATCTAAAAAACGATAAAAAATCGAAAAAGTTGACTTTTCCTAAATTCACAAAATTTTCTCTATTAAAGCATGGAAATAGTCTCGTATGCAGAGAAGATTTCCACGCCCTGATTTTTAGATTGAATCCTTAATATCGGCTTTATCTTGTAGCTTTCGAGAACTTTGATGAAAAAAAAACGGGCAAAGTTTCAAAAATTGTACATTTTCAAAGGCCATATTTTTTCAAAACACAGGGCATAGCCGCTTGCGCAGGGAAGATTCGCTTACCACGTTTTTTCTTCCGGTTGAACTCGTATTCTCCGATTTGGCAGGGTAGTTTTTGAAAAAAGTCAAAAAAAACTAAAAATTATTCAAAATGTCAAAAAATGGGACTGTTTGAGGCCATAACTTTTTTCTTCCGAATTTAGGGAATGGCCGCTTCAGAAGGATAGATCCCAATTGTTAGTTCTGTAGTTTAAACGTTCATCTCAGATTTATGCATTTATTATTTGAGAAAATGACCAAACTCAAAATCAAATAAGTCAAAAATCCCCCTACTGAAACTTTCGAAAGCCGTAGAACGTGGTGTAAACTGAAAAGAGACTAGCAAAATATGCAGGCACATAGAATATCAGCCAGTTTTTCCAATGACACCATTGTTTTGAAAACTGGTTCAGTAATTTTTGAGAAAAAAAAATAAAACTTTTGCAAAAAGTTCAAAATTTTTTCTAAGCATCGCAAAAAAATTAACAAATCCCATACATTTCCATAAAACCTGTTGTTTTCAAACAGGACCTAACACTATCCAAAAATAAACCAACACTATATCCTATTAAATTACATATGCTTAAATACGCTTAAATTTGATGAAATTGAAATATACCAAAAGTTCCACTAATGAGCACTTTTATTTACAACTTAGGTTGAAAAAAAGTAGGTTCGTAATAATACACTTCGCTTCGCTTGTGTTAACACAGCTCGAAGTCTAGGTAGCTCGAAAACATTGTACATCTGCGTAAAAATAAAGAAACGTTAAGTGCAGGAGTTCGAAGCGCTGAAACTGGAGTCGACAAGCTGGTTTAAATAACTTTTTATTACGAGTCAATTAAAGCTGTGAAGATTCTATATAGTACGCAATGATTTTTTTTCGTTTGTTTTTTTGCAGAAAGAATTCTTAAAATTTGCTCACGCTCAAATTTGATATTTCGCGGTTTCGTTTTTGAGTTTTTTTTCTAAAATTCGGTTCATTTCTTTTGCTAAAAGGAACTATCGAACAGCAAGAAAGTAAGAGTCACTAAAAATGTGATCGATTTCTGGTTTCGAAAGAGGTTTTTAATATTCGGATTTCCTAGAGGAACAAAAAATTTACTTATTCATCCAGTTTTCTCAAGCGGGGTTAATTTTATTTAAAAAAGTGTCGATCATAAATTATTATTGAAATTGAAGAAGCTTTAAATCCATATATTTGTTCAAGTTCGAAAAATGAAAAATTTTTAGAAAGAAGTCAGTTATTTCTCTGTTTTCTTGGCATCACTGACTCTTTTCCAGCTATTTTATTTTAATCCCTTTGGCTGGATCATCAAACACTGATATGATTCTCTTGCGTACTAAATAATTAGTAAATGCATCAATGGAAATGAAGTTAGCTAATCCCTGTTTCTGCAGCGCCTCCGAGCATTCATTAAGCCTAAAACTCAGACTGACAGTTCGAAAAAACGGACGGTCTATGATCTTAAAGAAAAAGCAGAAAGCAGCTATGTAATGAATATGCATACTTCATCTCAAATTGAATATCCTGTAATTTCCAGAACCGTTGATTGATGCGGTTTTTAAAAATAACGGGATAAAGATGAATGCTTACATTCTGTAGGTAGTTTTTAAAATTCAATACACTTACGAACAAAAAAATTCGATATTTCGCACCACTTCCATTTTTACTTTGGGCGGTTAAGAATACTTCCTCTTGGAAATTGAACTTGAAAACGAACTCAAAAGTTCAAACCGAAAAAAAGAATGTTCAGCTAAATGAAAGAAAAAAATCAAAAATTTCTGAAAACCCTCTAGTAAAACCTATAATTAGGTATATATTTTAAAACAAGCAGCTTTATGGGACTTCCGAAAATTTCAAAGTAAGGCTGCAGGTAATGTTTATACGGACATTAACGTTTAAAATGGTGCTTTCAATTTTCAACAAATTGTGAAAAACCGTAGATATTGGAAATAAGATCTGTATCATTCGAGTAAACTCTGACAGCGCCCAATTACAGGAATGGTAATTTCAAATTTTGTTAAAAAAATTTCATTGAAGTTTTTTTTACTTAAGTTTTGAAAAACCATAAAATTCTGCTAAGTTCTTTGAAAAAAATTTAAAATGACATAAAAAACGTCGCATCTCGGAAAATGACAAAATTTGAATGCAAAATTTATACAATGAATGCAAAATTTATAACTTGCAGCTCGTGAGAGCACCTTTAATCACAAAACTTATTAACACAAATTTAAAAAAAAATCACAAAACACGTCATATCTCAAAAATACAAAAATTTGAGCAGTCTTCTGGAGCTAAGATTCGCAACCTCTGAGTGCACTCTGACAGCCCCCAACTAAAGGAATAGGGATTTCAAATTGAAAAAAAAATCAGTTTTTTGTAAAAAAATTTTTTTTTTTTGAAAAAATCACAAAAAACGTCATATCTGGAAATCTTCAAAGATTTGAGCAGTCACATTTGGAGGCAAGACTTGCAACCCCTGAGATTACGTTGACAGCCCCCAAGTGCTGGGTTGGTATTTTGAAAATTTGAAACAAAAAATTAAATTTATAATTTCTGAATTTTTTAAAAAACTCCCAAACAGCGTCATATCTCAAAAATTTGTGCCGTCATATTTGGAGGCAAAACTCGCAACTCCTAGAAGTACAATGGAAGAGCTTCATGTAGAGATGTGAACTTCAAGTTTTGTAAAACCCTTTAAAACTAAGTTCTTTGAACAATTAAAAAAAAGACAACAAACGTCACATCTCGGAAGTAAGAGCATTTTGAGCAGTCGCATTTGGAAGCAAGATTGGCGACTTGCAGCTCGTGAGAGCACCTTCGCAGTACAAAACTACAAGGTCGGAAGTTCCAATTTTCTGAATTTTCTAAAATCTAAATTGTCTGAAAAATTATAAAGAAATCATAAAACACGTCATATCTCGAAAACTACAAGGATTTGAGCAGTCATATTTAGAGGCAAGATTCGCAGCCCCTGAGACCCTCAGAATACTCTGACAGCCCCCACTACAAAAGCGGGAATTTCAAATTTAGTAGAAAAAAATAAATTTATGTTCTCTGGAAATTCGCAATTCAAGGGTGTACCCTGACACAGCCTCACTATTAGAGATAGAAACTTCAAATTTTGTGAAATTTTATATCTAAATTCTTTGAAAAACTTAGAGAACGTCATAACTCGAAGATTACAAGGATTTGAGCAGTCATTTTTTAAATCTAAATAATTTGAAAGTTTTTGAAAAATCATTAAAAACGTCATATCTCGAAAACTACAAGGATTTGAGAGGTGAGATTAGGAGGCAAGATTCACAATCCCTGAGTTTACCCTGAGAACTCCCAACTACAGGTTTGAGAACATCAAATTTCGTGAAATTTTTCAAATTCAAGTTTTCTAGACTTTTTTGAAAAATCTCAAAAATAGCCGTATCTCGTTAGCTAAAAGGATTTCATTATTCAGATACGGCGACCAAATTTGCAACCCTGGGGAATCCTTATAGCATCCTACCATTGGGTTGCTAATTTCAAAATTGATAAAATAATCCTTGACATCGAACTGGAAAATTGAAAAAAAAATCTTAACCATTGCAATATAGGATATAGCTTAAACGTGTAAAAAACCTTTCATTAAACATGCAAAAATATTACGTTGAAATTATTTAAATATGGCGAGATAGTGAAGCCCGCATTTAAATATATAATAGATTTGTTGCCTAAACAGCAGTTCTGTTTTCCAGGTACTCTGGTAGGTATGAGCTGGGGCCAGATGTCCACTCTAGGCCTGAACTTGGAGGAGTTCGTGGTGGAGTGCATGTACAACACAGACTACTGCAACCGATCGAACTTCCTCGAAAGCACCAGTGCCACATACGGGAGGAGAGTAGCAAAAATTAATTATATTCTATCGATTATTAAAAAAGTATGAATAATGACTACAGGAAAAACAGCAAAAAATCAACACAGCTGCGAGGTTTGAAAAATTCATTATATCAATTCTAAGCCGCGATATTTCAATGGAAGCATACCGAGAGAAGATATGATTTCAAATGCAGAACTTTTTATTGACTTAATCCACAGCGAAATCAGAGAACGTGTATTTTGTTCATACATGAAGAGCTTAATGCAAAGAAACCATAAACTGTTAGTCATTTGTCGGAGGGATGAGAGAAAATAAACTATAACAATTATCAACTCACAGCTGAAATAAATTTAAAGCTTATCTCATTGTCATTTTTGCGCAACATTAAATACTCTATGCGGCGTATTTTATAGGTGTTACACATTCACCGCAGACAGACCCACTTTCCAAACTGGCTCGGAGAGTGGACTGCAGCTCACGCTGTTCCTGGACACAGTTCACTCTATGGGGACACTGACCCCCGAAGTGGGAGTCGACCTATTCATACACGATGCACCCGATGTCAGAATGGCCAAACTACAAATATAACACTACAAAAACCATTTCAATTATTTCTTGCCATTATTTTTTCACGCAAGGAAAACCTTTTTCACACAATGAAAACCATACATTTCTAAAAGCAGTTGAACATGACTAAAAGAGAAAAAGTACAAAATGGCTCAATTTGAAGCAGTTAATCTATTGCAAAAAGTTTTTTAAATTGGCCACCCTGTCCGAGGTGCCCCCTACTGCTATGGATCCGATCTCTCTCGAGAATGGCAAAATGTACAGCATCGGCATAGGCCAGAGATACTTCGAAAGGGAACGTGACTTGAGCAAATGCCGATCCGAATGGCCAGATGGTAATTATATCAAGCACAGACGGAAACAATGTACAGTTACTGTACAAAACAAATTAAGCAGTTTCTGACTTTTTTACCCTGAATTTAATGTAAGTTTTACTTGCTTCGATGAGCTATTTAAAACAATTTTAGCTAGAATATATTTTGACAAAGAGGCGAAGCGGAGCTTCGCACCATTTTCGATACAACACAAACAAAGAAAAAAAGTCGAAAAAAATTTAAATGTTGAAAAAACTAGAAGATTCCCAAAACCGAGTTTCTCGATTCCACGCAACCTGAGAATTGGTACGGTGGTTTTCGCGTAAAATAAAAAAATTTTCCAAAAAACTGTATAAGTTTCTACGCTTTGACTTCTTTGAAGGCCATAAACTTTTTCTGAAACAAACTAGGCATAGCCAATTAAAAACAGATTTTCAACAGCCTGTCAACTCGATTAAGCCTTTGAAATCAGATTTGGCCGGTCAAAAAATCCGACTGTCATAACTTTTGGTGTCCAAAAACTTATGCTTAGTTGCATAATCAAAAGAATTTCTTACAACGCGTTCTTCGAATTGAACCCAAAATCTCAGATATGGCAAGGAAAACTTCGAGAATATTCAAAAAGTTTTAAAAAGGACAAAATCAAAAATTTGACTTTTGAGAGGGAAACAACTTTTTGTGTAAGCAAAACTTTGAGTGGCCGCATACACAGGGAGTTTTTCAGAACAATTTCATTCATTGAACGTAAATATTCTAATTTGATCGTAGTTTTCGAAAAAAAAAAGAAGAAAAAAAAATCAAAAACATGGGTCAAATATTCCCTCACAAAAATATGGGTTAAATACTTCCCTACAGACATTTTCGAAAGCTGTAGACAGAAAAATCAAGAAAAAAACACTCTAGACGAGCATAGAGGCACAAAAGAAAAAAAGACTCTAGGCGAGCATACAGGCATTCGATTGATATCCCTTTTTCGAAAACCAGTAGAAGTTTCGGAGAAAAATTAAAACTTTTCCAATATAATTGAAAATAATATTCCATAATAAAAAAAATCTTTCAACAAACTAATTGGTAAACATACAACCAACTTGAAAAAGCGGAGGAAAGTGTTTAAATTGTGCTTCTATTCAAAGGACCCGAAATTAGGTTATTAGGTTATTAGGCCGATGAAAAAAAAACAAACAAGGAAATACGAAGTCAAGGTAAGTAAAATTACTTATTGTAGGAGCAAACCAAACACTAAAGGCAACATTAATGAAAAATGCTCGTAGCAAAAAAAAGACGATTCCAAGATATGACAACTAGGCCGACAAAAAATCAGCAGACAAATAATTGGCCGACAATTGAAGTTGAAACAGAATATTTCCCGCTTGAAAAAAAAAAACAGGGCCTACTCAGATTCGAACCCAGGACGTTTGCCGTCCAAGGCATAATCATTACCTCCAGGCTAAAGTGGGAACGCAATGAAATTTGAATTCTTATGAACCAAGATACAAGTGATTCAAATGATTCTGTTAAACAAGTTGTTAACCTGGAAAAAAGTCTATATTCCAGCTTGATAATGCTTGCTAATCGCAAGCGTAATAATTTTGCATCATAAAATATTTGCCGCTTTTAACAAAGCCCCAAATCATCAACTTTTCGGTCCTTCGTTCGAATTTTGTGTAAAAAGCAAAATATTCAGAATTTTTCTCATCTACAACAAAGCATTTTTTCCAGAACTTTTCATTTCAGCTCGACCCATAACTACTAATGTGATTTATCACTCGAGGCCATATGACGTTAAATTATGGCATTTGAGCTTGTATGAGAAAAAACTTTAATCTGTTTTAGTCACCTAATTCAAAATGTTTTGTGTCGAGAAAACTGGTCTGAACTTCGCAAAAATTGATGACACTGTCAACTCATATTTGATAACACTAAACTTAAATCTGCTCCAATTTTAAAATCAATTTTTCTATAATTACCTCTCATTCTGCAGTTTCTTACCTAATTTATTAGCCAATTGACCATTTTTTCATGTTTTCTCTTATTTTTGAACTTCTGTGAAACTCAAACAGCAACCGGCTATCATTTTTTGTTTTGTTCATCCATGAAAACTATTCCATTTATTGTTGCAGAGATGGGTATTCACAGTCGTGTATCCCTTTTCACCTACAACCAGGACATGTGTGACAATCTGTGGTGTCAGAAGGACTACCTGGACAACTGTGGCTGTATCTCAGACTACACCGGATACCTCATAAGAGAAGACGCTCAAATATGCAATCTTAGGGACCCTGAAACATTGCAGTGCATGAAGAACCGACATCTGTAAGTCACAACAAACCATAAGGGCTCTAAAACTTGATAAAAATATTGTTCCTACGGCAATTTGCATGCGGTGAAACGACAACTCGCATTAAATAGCATTTTAAAACCGCATATCAGCAAAAATTGACAGGGGAAATAGGGTTTAACATCGTAGTTAAAAACACGATAGGTAATTCGAGAAATTATTAAGGAATTGGGAGAAGTCTCTCAGTGGTTAAAAGCAAGTAATTTAAGTTTAATCTATGAAAAAACAACACAAGTAAATATAACAAAAAAAGCGCTACTTGAGTTCCAGTTTTTTTTGATAAGTAGAAACTTTTCTCGCTAACATCTAGGAATAAATTTGATTCAAAACTAAATTTCCGTGAGCACATTGAAACGCAAGCACATAGATTACTTAAGCACATTGCATCTGAAATTAGGCATTATGTTCCGCGAAAGTTGTTACCGTGTTACTATGATTGCAATTTTTAGTCTATTTTTCAATACGGTATCCTCACATATGCTTACTAAGCTAAAATGCCCTTTTACGCATCCACAATTTACAAAAGAAGATAATTTGAACAATTTTTTTTTCTCAGAAAACATCAAGTGTTAAGGCAAAAAGCGATCGATCAAATAATTTAAATAAACTCGAAGTAATAATCGAAATGCAGATCATCGAAAAAAAGGGCTTTTGATAATACTTTAAAAAAAAACTAATATGCAAAAAAATCTCAATTAAACACGGAGGATCTAAGCTGTTCATTTTGTTGCAAACAATAAATTGGTCCCACTAGAGGTTCAAAGCTCGAAAGAAGCTCAGTTTTTAATAGTTGTACATCGCTCAAAGGATCTTTTAGTCTTAGAAAGCAACATGCTTTCCAAATTTGTTTTTAATTGATTCGGATCTCAATTTACCTCATTACTTATACTATATCGCGGTTTTGCCAATGGTTTCATATCCATTATTTCGGGTTCAGTTTGCATATCCATTATCTTAAACTGAACCATTCTTGTACTTATTCACTGGTTACTGCAGCATGGGTGTCCGCTGACTGAAAAGCATGTATCCTGCTGTGCGAGTGTTAAACAGGCTATAGGGACCTGGCTCAGTTAGAAGATGCATTTACCAAATAGTAAACAAACTCAAAAATTTTAATTTAACAGGGTACTAGGTCCTGCACAAACGATTTTTTATTTGAAGTTTTGAAAAAAGTTTTCGTAATCTGTGAAAAAACCACAAGCATGCTAGATCGAAACTTTCAGGCGGCCAGCCAAAATAACGTACTGCTAACATTTAGAGTTCTAAATTACAGAATATGCAATTACGGATTTTTTAAAATAGTTTTTCCAAAGTATTTTAAACTCATTAATGTTATTTGAATGTTTATTTTATTTTTGTCGATTATGGTTGAAGGGCAGCTGTGTGCAACCCTAGTAGGTTCGTTGGCTGTCCTCTCAGGATATGAACAATAATTCTTCTTCTTCTTTTAAAATGACTATGATAGAGTAATCAGATCGAGCAAGCTGAATTTTATGGGAAAAATATTTGCAGCCCCTGCTCGACCTCTTCGATGTTTTTCTGCCAACAAGCATGCATAGAGCTGGACTACAAACTGTCCATATCACAATCGACATGGCCTAGCTCTCAGAGCACCCTCCTATTGGTTAATGAGTTGAACCGACTCAATATGAGCGAACTCCTTAAAAGCTTCCTCTACAACACATTGACGCAGCCTGATATTGGAGTGGAAACCATTAGAAAATCTTTCGCGGAAAACTTTCTCAAAGTGAGACTGTACCTGAACGACCTCCGAATAGAGGTAACATTATTGCAGACCCAGGATTTCGATGTGAAAAATTGTCATACAGCGCTTTCCTTATTGCTTTTTTTCTTCACTTGTGATACGTCAAAACAGGAAGTTAATCACTTTTTCGATGGTTGGGTGAAGGGGGTTCAGAAGTTTATGGGGAAAATAAGCTTTATTTATTGGCATTTTCGGCTATTCTGCTTCAAAAACTACCAGATAACTCGAGAAATCAACAAGGCTGACTAACTACAAATTACGTTAAAATCAGTTCGCAACGCCAGGACTTCAAAAAAAATTTTAGTGTAAAATCTAATTTTTGATTCAGCGCAGTACCGAAGTGAAATCGAATACGATCAATTCATCCCTCAGTAGTTTCGGGGGATCCTTGGGACTGTTCCTCGGGTGGAGTGTGCTCTCTGTGATCGAGCTCGGCGTTCTGTTGATCAGACTAATCGGAATACTGGCCAACTGGATATCTCGCAAATGTACAGATACATGTCACAAAGAAACACACTAAAAGGGACTAGAAAATAACCTCTATTGAAGTTTACATTGATTGCATGATTTGTTTCTATCAAGTAATATTTTTTAAGGGTAATATGAAGTAATATTTTCTAATTTTCTGCGAAATTCTGAGCATGAAAATTCATTTGCTTTCAACATTCAGAAGATTTCTATTCGCTATTTTTCACAGCCAGAAAGTAAAATTTTTGAAGGCGCCAATATATGCTAAATTTAAGGAAAAGGGGTACAGTTTCTCAAAAACCTGCCACACTCATCGTCATTGGCATAATTTCTTCACAAAGTCAGGATTCTCAAAACCTATACACTATCCCTTCCAAAAAACTAAGATCTTTCCCTATAAAAGGCAGATTTAATTTAATCGAAATCGGACGGAAAACACTTAGTTCATTTCTTTTACCTTCATCGCCAAAAAACTCCGATTGATTAAACTGCCAGTGGAATACTGGATAAACAATTGCTCGCACTACAACTAAGTTTTTCTTTTAAATTACCTTTATTTGTGACCTGATTTAATTGTTCAAAGAAAATTGATTCGATTTGATTTAACTATCTGTTATGGCAACCTTCGAGAGCCTTTCGCTGTTTGTCCTCTCTTGATCTAAAATCTATCCTTTTTATCTATTTCCACATTTCCTCGCTCATGATAAATAAATAAACGATTGAGTAAATGAAAACAAATAAATATTCATGAACTGCATTTTATGTTCATCAAATTTTTGACGAGTTTCTTGATTGCCATTGTTGCAATTATTGGGAGGGAGTTCAAGACTGAAAACTTAGGAAAACAGACAATACAAAATATATTTTGTTGATACTTTAGCTACAAATGGTACCAAACAAACAAAATAATCCTATAACTTTCGGCGAAGCAAAATATACAATTTTTTAAACATTAGCAAGGAATGAATTTCCCACTCAATTTTCAGCGATGCATTTTATCTAAGCAACTGCACTGAAAGCATTAGTCAAATCGTCGATCAAATCATCAATATCTTCTAGGCCCACCGAGAGGCGTATAAGCTGATCGGAAATTCCGAGCACCGCTCGCTGTTCGGGTGGGACCGAGGCATGAGTCATCACACAAGGCAATTCCACAAGACTCTCGTAGCCTCCGAGACTCTCGGCCAGCGTGAACACTTTAAGACTTGCGATGAACTGTTTCGATGTCTCAACATTTCCCTGAAAATGAACATTTCTTTTATTTGAAAAAAACTATGTGCTTTATATTTGAGGCAAAAATTGGTGTTCAAATACATTTTTGCCTTTATAGCATGCATCAAAAAATTACAAACATTCAAGGACTTATCAAACTGGCAATCTGACCTTGATCCAAAATGTGACCATGCCTGAGTTGCCAGTGCACTGTTTCTGGACGATGTCATATCCAGGGTAGCTCTTCAGTCCAGGATGCATTACCTTCTCAACCATAGACTCCTTCTCCAGAAACTGCGCAACCTAAAATTAAAATGCCCTAACACTTTTAATAGTTCAACAACTCAAAAACACTGCATAAATCAATTTATAGCGAGAGTAATCCTAGAGCAATATTCAACAGTAAACAAATTTATGTTCAATGAAAGGTACAAAAATACTTAAGATGCAAGATTTTTTTTTGTCCATTCTGAAACTTGATTCTCACTAAGCCTGAATTTTTACTGGTTTAAGAGATAAGAACAGATTTAAAAAATAATAAAAACAGACTGCATGTGCGCTTAAACCTTCAATGCGTTGCTATTGTGTCTTTCCATTCTCAGATGAAGTGTCTTCAGCCCTCTATTAGCTAGAAAACAATCGAAGGGTGAGGGCACTGCTCCGATTGCATTCTGCAGAAACTTCAACTTCGCCGCCAGTTCATCATTGTTAGTCATTAGCAGACCCATGATTACATCTGAATGACCGTTTATGTATTTGGACACTGAATGCATTGAAATATCAGCTCCAAACTGGAGAGGCTTCTGATTGTAGGGTGACATGAATGTATTATCCACTACAAAAATCGCGTCGGGTCGTTTCAGCTTGGCCTTGATGATCTTCGCGCATGCTTCGATGTCCACGCATTTCATAGTCGGGTTGGTAGGAGTTTCGATCCAGACTATTCTCGTTTTTTCATTGAGAGCTGCTTCTAGTAGATCCAGTTGTGTGCAGTCCACTTTGTTGACGGTGACTCCGTTCGGCACAAATACACGGTTCATAAGTCGGTTTGTCCCCCCGTAAACATCGTCCATGCACACAACCTGCTCAAGAAAAAAACTAACAACAGTAGTCACCACACATCACATCACTCAAAAACTGTAGTCATGTATCATGACAGGGTGACCACTTCGGCCGAGAAAAAAAAGTGACCTGTTCTTTTTATTCGTAAAATAGCTATAGCATCCTAGTTGCCTCATAAACAAGTGGATTTTTTGAACAAATTTTGTTGGATTACTCATGAATGCAACAGTAAAATGTTAAAAAACTTTTAAAATGTTTAAAAAAAACACAAAAAAAATCTTATATAAAGTTGAATAATTATAAAATTTGATTGGAAGTGACTCTGGCCCATCCATTTTTCGTCTTACACTAGTAAATATTTTTTTGGAATTTTTCAATAATTGTAGTTTTTTTTTACAAAAACGGTTATCAGTGTTTACCTCTGACAATGGCAATACTTTTGGGTGATTCAGATTCCAATTTCAAATCGTAGTTTAGTTGTTGCTTTTAAATGATTTCTTTTGATTTTTGAGTTTTGAGTCTTTCAGTTTACTAATTTGGCGGCATAATCATGTCAAAAATGTGGTAAAATTAGGTTCGGCAAAGATTAAAGTTCAAATGTCGTAGACATAGCCGGGCCCATTTGCAGGTTGCAAATTAGAAAATTGTTCGTTGAAGCTGATGGTACGTCGTCGTTGATTGTAATGGTCATCTAGTTGTTAGCTGTCGTTGATCATGTTGGTCATCTAGTTGTTACTGTGGTCCAATACTCGCGAGAGTTTGACTGCTGGTCGGTGTAGAATCCCCCTGCTAGTTTTAATTTCGCAGGAGCGAACGATTCCGTCTGCACCTGGGAAAGTACGAAGTACCCGTCCCAGGGGCCAAAGACCTCGAGGCGTTAGGTCTTCCAGTATCCATACAAGGTCTCCTTGCTGAAGATTTTCCACATGCTTTGTCCATTTCGTTCGGGTCGTCAAGGTTGGCAAGTAGTCTTTGAGGTATCTGTTCCAGAACTGTTGACTCAAGGCTTGAGCTTGTTTCCAAGTTTTCTTGTCCGTTGTGTGGCGAGGGAGAAACAATCCGGGAGGCAAATTGTTTGTTGGTCGTCCTAGTAGAAGGTGATTGGGTGTAAGGGGCTCGTCGTCGGTTGGGTCTGATGAGACGTGGGTTAGCGGGCGAGAATTCATCATAGCTTCAACCTCGCACGTGAAGGTTGACAGAGTTTCGTCGTCCAGTGCCCGTGTTCCAATGACTTTGTAGAAGGCAATCTTAAATGTTTTTATGAGGCGTTCCCATGATCCACCAAAGTGAGGAGCTGCAGGTGGGTTGAACTTCCAGGTTATTCCAAGTAATTGGCATTGATTGTTGAAGTCGTTGCTGTGTTGAATCTCAGAAAGGCTTTCCTGTAATTCCTTGTCAGCTGCAACGAAGGCTTTTCCGTTGTCAGAGAAGATGATCCTGGGTTTACCGCGTCTAGCGATGAAACGGCGTATGGCTTGTAGAGTTGAGTTTGTGTCAATTTGCTGGCATATTTCTGAATGAACTGCTCGCGTGACGAGGCAGGTGAAGAAGAGAACGTATCGCTTACTGTACTCGTCGTTGTTCCGCGTGGCAAAGGGTCCAAAGAAGTCAATTCCTGTTGAGTAGAAGGGGTAACTGTTTTCCGATAAAGGGAGTCGTTGTAGGGGTAGATCTGCCATCAGAGGCTTCACTGGTTCCTGTCGAAGGCGTCGGCAAGGTATGCATTGTCGAATAGTTTTCTTCAGATGCTTGCGTGATCTTATGATCCAAAAGTCCTGTTGAAGAATGCTTCGGGTGTGTTCCATTCCACAATGGGAATTTATTTCGTGTGTTTGCTTCATGAAGAGTTGTATTGGGTAGTTTTCTGCGTTCAGAATGACTGGATGTCGGCTGCAAAGTAGAAGCGGGGCTTTCTGTAGTCGTCCTTTGGCACGTAAGTATCCGTGATCGTCGATGAAGGGGCAAAGAGGTTGTAGAGGGCTGCGGGGTGGAATGTCAGATTTCTTTGTCAGGCATGCTATTTCCTTGGGGAATGATTGATTCTGTGAGTGTTTAATGATCCATGCGAATCCTAAGGTGAGGTGTTGAAGTGAGAGGCTCTGGCGTGTCTTCCTTTTGATGTTTTCTGCGAAGAGAAGAACATATGAAGTAACTCTGAGTGCTCTTGTCCAAGTGCTAAATCGGTTGAAGTCGATTACTGATGTTGGCGGTTGTGGGTCGTTGTCTGTCAGATGAATATCGGCTGTAGGTTGTGTTGGCGGGTGATTAGGCCAATCGGATGATGGTCTTAACAAGAAGTCTGGTCCTTTGATCCATCGTGAATCGGTAGTCATGTCACATGCTTTGTAACCACGTGTTCCGTCGTCTGCAGGGTTGTCTTTGCTGGGCACGTTTCTCCAGTCCAGAGGAGATGTTGAGTCCATGATGAAATTCAGGCGGTTGGCAATGAAGATCCGGTGTCGTTGATTCGGCGAGTTTATCCAATGAAGAACTGTTGTACTATCTGTCCATAGTGTCGTACTGTCGATTCGTATGTCATGTTGTTCTTTGATGAAACGAGACAGTTTAGCTCCGTTAGTGGCGGCTTGAAGCTCGAGATTTGGAATTGTCATTCTGCTGATGGGTGCTACTCGGGCTTTTCCCATTTCCGTTGTGTCGTCGTCGTATCTGATTCTGAGGTAAGCAACTGATGCTAAGGCAAGCTCGGAGGCGTCGCTGAATACATGGAGTTGGGTTTCCAGTATCTTCGTTTCTGGTTTGAAATAAGTCCGGGGCAGGCAGATGTCGTTGAATTGGCTTCGCTTGTCTATCCAATCGTTGAGGTCTGTTAAATGCTCCATGTTTAGAGGTTTGTCCCATTGAGGTCCATTACTCCAGGCAAGTTGAAGTGATTGTCGTAGTCGAATTGTCAGTGGCATCGTAATTCCAAGCGGGTCAAAGATTGAAGAAGCAAACTTCAATAGTTTGCGCTGCGTTAAGTCCTTCTTGTCAATGGCGTGAAACTTCTTTGCTTCCACAAGAAAGACGTCCGTGTCTGGTTTCCATTTCACTCCAAGAACTCTTTCGAGGGGTCGTTCCTTCTTGGTGAGGCTGTCGTTGTTTTCCAAGTGGTTCTCGTTAACTGTTGTGAGGAATTGTTGAGAGTTTGAGGTCCATTTTGTGAGGTTGAAACCTCCAAGGCTGAACATCTTTTGAAGGTCGTTCATTAACTGTGTCGCTTCCGTCGGTGTTGAAACGGCTTTGTATAGGTCGTCCATGTATATGTTGCGTTTTGTGATTTGCTCCAAGGCTGGATATTTGTCGGCATTGTCCTTCGCACATTGTCGAGTGGCGTAGCAGGCAACACATGGTGAGTCGGTAGCTCCGAAGATGTGGCGGGTGTATTGGAAGGTTGCGGGTTGGCCCGTGTTGTCCTTCCACAGAAATCGCAAATACGGCTGGTCCTCTGGGCTCACGAAGACCTGCATGAACATTGCTTCAATGTCGGCAGAAATAGCGATTTGGTCCTCGCGAAATCGCATAACGATTCCAGTAAGGTTTGTGAGGAGGTCTGGTCCAGTTAGTAGGTTGCTGTTGAGTGATACTCCTTTGTAGATGCTCGATGCATTAAGGACTCGGCGTACCTTGCCAGGTTTATTGATGTTTGTCACTGGATGATGAGGAAGGTACCATTTTCCTGTTGAGTCTTCATGGGAATCATCAACTTTGACTATGAAACCTTTCTGCAAGTCGGTGTCGATGGTCTCCTGATATTTCTGTGCCATCTCGGTGTTTCTCTTCAGTCGTCGGAGAAGGCTGTCGAGCTGCTTCTTGGCAAGCCATCTATTGTTTGGCAGTTGTTGTCCACGTTTCCAAAGCATTCCAATTTCGTAGTGTCCATTGGGCAAGCGAGTTGTTGAAGATTCCAAGATGCGGAGAGCTTCCTTGTCGTCTGTTGAGAGGCTGCGTTGGTCAGTTGAAATCCCTTCGGCGTCCAATTTCATCCATTCAGCTACGTGGCGAAAGAGTTTATCGTCTGTCGTGAAGTTGATTGTGTTGATGTCGTTGGGTGTCGCTGCATTGTCTCGTCCACAGAGAGACCATCCAAGTGGCGTTTTCCATCCAATAGGCACATTTTGTTTTGAATGGATTACTTCTGAAGGTGTCACGAGTTCGGCGAAATCGCATCCAATGATGATTCCGATTTCTTTCGAGGGCAGTGTGGCTATCCGAATGTGTTGAAGAGGCTCGTTTCTTTGGCAGATGGAGTTGACGAGTTCAGGGTTGAATTGGGAAAGGTTCCAATCCATTATGACGTCGATGTCATTTAGTTGAAATGGCTGCTTTTGCTGGTTGTAGGGTCCAATCGCAATCGTCATCTTTGTAGAAGCTGTGTCTGATGATGTCAGTGCTTGGTTTAGCTGGATGGTGTCGTCTAACTGCAGATCTGGTTTGAGTTGGAGGGCGATTGATGATTTAAGCAATGTCAGTTTGCTTCCACAATCAAGCATTGCATAGGCATGAACTGTATGTTTGCCATGAGAGATCGTTATTGGCAGGGTCGGAATGTGGCGAGTCGATTTCCTTCTGTTTATGCTGGTGCTGCAGTTGGTGGTGTCGTCATGTTGTCTGGAGTTCCGGTTGGCTGTCTCCCTTTGTGTCGTCGAGTTGTAGGTGCTGCTGTTGTGCAGAAGTGTGTGGTGTTTCTTACTGCATCCGTCCGTCCGGCAGGTTTGCGTTGATTGACAGTCGGCGAACTTGTGGGGGCTGAGGCAGTTGAAACATAGTTGTAGGTCCCTGGCATGCTGTAATCTGTCCTTTGGGTTCATTGCGATGAAGTGATGGCATTTTCCAAGGTACTGGCAATTGCGTTTCTCCGGGCAAAAATCTCGTCGTTGATCCTTTTGTCCAGATTTATGTTGCTGCTGGCTGCGTTGCTGGTTCCGGTGGTTCTGATTGGCGCGGTGATCCGATGGTCCTTGTTGGTGGGTGTGACCGTTGGATGATGATCCTTGAGTGTTGCTGCTGTTGTAGTTGTTGTTGCTGCTGCTGTTTCTGGTGTTGTTGTTGTTGCTGTGGCTCGGCAAATCGCTGCATGCTTCGGCGTAGATGTTGAACCAATTGGTGAGGTCGATGAGTGATGGTTGTCTGATGTTGCATTGCAGATTGTATCTATTCCATTCTAGTCGGCAAGGGGTAGGCAGTTTTGACAAAACTGTTTGGACATTTGTCGTAGAGTGTAGATCGTGCTGGAATCCAAGTGTCGTGAATGTATCGACCATTGTCTGTAGGAAGTTGGCGAGGTCCTTGTAGCTTCTGGTATGTCGTAGATTGGGGCCGCTGATGGCGTCGAGTCGTCGAAGGAAGGATGTAACTATCTTCGTCGGGTTACCAAAGTCGTTTTCCAGTCGCTGAAGGGCTGCGTCATACATTGCTCCATTGCATCCATATCCTCGGATGAGAGATTTGGCATCTCCGGATACAAGTTTCTGCAGATGTGTCATCTTTTCCGAGTTTGTCATGTCGGTGCTGTTGATGGTTGCGTTGAACAGTCCTATCCAATCTAACCATTGTTCAGGTTCTCCGTCGAATATGAATGGTTTGACAATGGGCACTGATTTCCTGAATGTCTTCGAGATCGTTTGATGATGGTTGTGGTCTGTCGGTGCTGTTCCAAGGTTGGTAGGAATCGGGAAATAAGTCGGCTGGTTCTGATGTGCTGCATGTTGATGTGCTGCATGTTGATGGACTGCATGTTGATGAGGGGGAGGTCGGTTGATATTTTGGTGAGTTGTTCCTGTTGGTCCCCTGCAGCCTGCATGAGTGAAGGCTGTGGTTGATGATGTCAGCATGTTCGTAGGGTTGTATGCTGTCGTGGTTCCCAGAAATCCTTCCTGGTACGATCGCATGGCAGGTTGTGTACATTGGTGAGTCAGGGTCGGCTGGCTGGAGGTCCAATTTGTTGCTGTTCGTTGATCTCCTTGGTTTGTTGGCAGTAGTGCTGGTTGTGCTGGTATCGGTACTCCGTTGATGTTTGTGATACCCTTAGCTGTCGTCTGGTGTCCACAGAACACGTTGGTGGGGGGATGATTGGTTGAATTCTGATTTCCAATCGTCAAGATGGGTCTAAAGGCGCTATTCGGATTATGTGTCCTCTGTTGCTGACTTGGAGGCTGATTCTGTTGTAGGCTTGAAGGCTGGTTCTGTTGTTGGCTTGAAGGCTGGTATAGTCCATGTGGGGGGCTAGCTGTCTGGGGAGCAAGAAATGGGTGTGTGATTTGCTGTCCAATCATTTGACTCTGAGCTGCTTTTGAAGTTGCTGTCGGAAGAAATATTGGCGCTGAAACATTTCTTTGTTGGGTTGCTGGTGCGTTCATCTGCTGATTGAAAACTTGGATTTGAGTTCCAGGGTTGGAGTGTGGTGACGTTTCATGAAGTTGAGCTTCTGAGTTCGGTCTTCGTCCCACTGTTGCTGTCAATTGCTGGTTGTCGATTTGGAGTTGAGTTCCATTGTTCAATTCTTTTGTCGTTCCTTGAAGTTGAGCTTCTGGGTGGTTCGGCTGAAGGTTTGAACTTTGTGACAAGTCGGCGTTCGGCTGCTGCAATGAGAGGTTTGACTGAGGATGGAGGTGAGTTCCATGGGCAGTTTGAGTTCCAACAGTTTCTGTTTGTTGTTGATGAATGCGATGATCCAAGGTATTGGCGTCGCTGTTAGATCCGGGGCGAAGTAGGAGTCCTGAATTGTCCTGGGTGGAATTTGATCTGTGGTTTGAAGTAGCGTTTAAGATTGCTGGCAATCCTGAAAATTGTGGCGAATCGTCCGGGGTGTACTGGTCCATGGTGACGTTTTGTGTAGTGGTACTACGGGTTAAACTTTCCGTTTGGCGTCGAAGGGGAAGATTTTCCAAGGCTTGTCGTATTATTGAAGGCGTCGAGACGTTGCTGGCTACTCGTGATGAGTTTAAAGAAGACGTGGCAGTGTTGTTGAGGGTACGCTCGTATCGTTTTGATCGTAGTTGGATCGTTCGGTACAAAACTTTCAAAGTTTTCAATCGTTCAATGATTGAGTCTTGCTGGTCCGTTCCGGTGCGTATTATCTTGACTGCTTCGTTATTGGCATCGTCAAGCAAGCTCTTCAATTCCGTTAAGAAATCGTTTATGATCTGTACTTCGTCGGAATCGCTTATGGCTTGGTTAATTGCTTTTGCTAAAATTTCTACGTCTGTTTCTATGACTTTAAAAACAGCATCATAGGTTGAATTCATTTTTAATTGACTTTGTCTCCTAAACTTAATTCACTTTTTGACGTGTCAGACAAAAATGTAAATGGCCAATATGTAATTCCTTTGATTACATGGAACCCTCGCAATTGTATTGTAACAAAAAAAAATGATTTTGAGTTTTTTTTTTTCTTTGGAACTTACAATCCAAAAAAAAAATAATAAACTATATGACTGGTTAGTATAAGGATGGGTTCGTTGATTTTTCCAACAAAAAAAAACCTTGGTTTCGGTTTCTTTGTTTTAAAAACTATTGGGCGCCAATGACAATGGCAATACTTTTGGGTGATTCAGATTCCAATTTCAAATCGTAGTTTAGTTGTTGCTTTTAAATGATTTCTTTTGATTTTTGAGTTTTGAGTCTTTCAGTTTACTAATTTGGCGGCATAATCATGTCAAAAATGTGGTAAAATTAGGTTCGGCAAAGATTAAAGTTCAAATGTCGTAGACAACCTCTTCGCCCTTCTCTAATACATGCAGCAATGTCGCTGTAGCCGCGAGTCCAGAGGCAAACGCCACTGCATGCTTCGCCCCTTCTACCGCCGCTACGCACTCCTCGAAACATTCGCGAGTCGGGTTTCCCGACCGACTGTAGTCAAAGCCACACTCGGACAACTCCGCCGGACCAGTCTGAGCAAACGTCGATGCAAGACTGATCGGCGGAACGACCGCACCACTGCGCCACTTCCAGGGATCCTGTCCAGCATGGATAGCTCTCGTTCCAAACTTGAGTTTCTCACTTTCCTTCACCATGTTTTCTGATATAAATTTCTTCGAACTTTGGAATGTATCTTGATTCAGTGCTTTGACAATTTGCAGGCAAAGTTGGCAATGTTGTTACTTCTTATAATTTTATAGCGAACTTACAAAATACTTTAAGTGAAACAAATTTAAGGCCGGAAAGATTAGCTCATTAATATATGATGGTCCCCTTTAAGCAACATAATAAATCAGCGGGTCAACAAAACTTTTTGGCGAAAAATATCAGCAAGCGAAACTTTCAAAATTGCTTCAAATAGTTATTTTGGTTCTTCAATATACCAACTTTGCTAATTGGATATCAAATTAAGATTTTTTAAAATAGTCAAGGCTATCGTGACGGAAGTGTGATAAGATAATAAGCTAAATGAGCCCCAACTCAAACAATCATCTCAATTTCGAGGGCGTCAATCAGAATTAGTTCATATATATCAGAGACACCAGAGTGTAGTAAGAGATACAGTAAATTTTATTTTCACAAACACAAGCCGTCAAAATCAAGTCAAACGCAATTGCTGACCAGTCAAATATTTTACGCAAGTCCCAGGAACGTATACATGCTTCCAATCTAGAACACAACGAGAAACAGTTTCAAAGACATCTTTTCCAACTGTCTGTTTGCTATCCTTTTCTTAAAATGTCAAAAAATCCTTTCTTGTTTTAACAACGAAAACATTACTGGCCTCTATGTTCAAGTACCAAAATTGTGATGACATTATTGACACAGAGTCGAAGCGGAGCTTCGCACCATTGCGATACAATACAAACATAAGAAAAACATAAATAAAAAAAAATTGATGTTGAAAAAAACTAGGTGAACCAAAATTTTCTTATATCTCGATAAAAATTAACTAGGGGCCAGCTAAAGCTGGAGGTACGGGCTTGATATTGATTGAAATTGCTCACTGATGCAACACGAAAAATGTGATTTCAAAAACTGGACTTTGCCCAAAACCTTAGTAGTCTCTCTCGTAAAATAAGTGAGAAGAATATGAAATTTTGAAATAACCAATTTTCCCAAGGAGATAACATTTCTCATTCAAAAATTAGGGAGCCACCGCTTCTGCAGAAACAATTATTGCAACCGGTGTTTTGCAATAACAGAATTGATTAAATTTTAAAATGATCAAAAAATTTCTAAAAAATGTTCGACAGTTCTAAGAAACGGTCAAAAGACTTTCTGAAATCCATAACATTTGTCTGGAAAAGCAGGTTGTGACCGCTTGAGCAGAGACGATTCCCAAAACCGGGTTTCTCGATTGAACACAACCTGAGAATTGGCACGGCAGTTTTCGCTTAAAGTCAATTCTTCCCAAAAAACTCAAAGTTTCAAAAATTTGACTTGTTTGAAGGCAATAACTTTTTTCTTAAACAAACTGAGCATAGCCAATTAAAACCGTAGGCTTTCAAAAGCCTGTTAATTCGATTAAACCTTTGATCTCAGATTTGGCAAAATAGTTAGCTAGAAAAGTCCGACAAACGGTAATTAAATCAAAAATTCGACAGTGGCGAATATCATCGCTTTTAAATGATAAAAAAGGGGCGTAGTTGCTTTTGCAGAAGGAATTGACGCAACCCGCAATTTGGATTGAAGCCAAAATGTCAGATTTGGGAGGTTAATTTTCGAGAAAAAAACAAAAACGTTAAAAAACGGTCAAAAAATCTGAAGTTCATAACTTTAAGCGTCAGAAAAACTTGTTTTCACTAGAAGAAGCAAATGAGCTTCTTATAACAGGTTCTTTGAATTGAACCCAAAATCTCAGATATGGCAGGGAAAATTTCGAGAATAATCAAAAGTTCAGATTCAGAGGGCAATAACTTTTTGTGTAACAACTTTTTTTGAGTGGCTGCTAAAGCAGGGGAGATTCCCACTGCTCATTATCTCGATTTTACTCACAAAATCAGAAATGAGAGGTTAATTTTCGAAAAAAAAGTCAATAAGAATCACAAAACGGTCAAAAATCAAAAATATGAATATTCCGAGTGCCAACTTTGTGTTTTAAAAAAATTGAGCGCGGACGCATGCACAGGAAGCTTTTCAGAACCTAATTCATTGATACCAGAAACTTCGATTTGAGAGGAGTAGTGTTCGAGAAAATGAAAACAAAAATCAAAACATGGGTCAAATATTCCCCCAAAATATGGGTAAAATATTCCACAACAGACTTTTTCAAAGGTCGTAGACAGAGGGTTCCAGTAAAAAAAAGACTCAGGAGAGTATGCAGGAACACAAGAGAGTAAAAAGTCTTTCAACTGATACCATTTTTTGATTTTTTGGAGACCAGTAGAAGTTTCTGAGAACAACTAAAATTTTTCCAATTTATTTGGAAATGTTTCCATAATAAAAAAAAGACCGAAACAAAAAACAACGAAGGAAATACGAATTCACGGTAAGTATAATTATAAATTGTAATAATAAATCAAATACTAAAAGCAACATTCAAAAAATGTCCGCAGCAAAAACACGATTCGAAGATGTGACAACTAAGCCGACATCAGATAAGCAGAAAAATAATTGGCCGACAAAAAAAAATTCTGCGCGCATCCTGGTCAGATTCGAAACCCGGACCCTTGCCGTTCCAGGCATATTCATTACCTCCAGGCTTCCGAGGTCTTAATCCTCTTTTACTTGAATTGATTTTTTAACCAATCTACCCAAATGATGAATCATCAAACTAATTTCACACAGACAATTTTGCACTAACAAACCGTTTTGAAAATAGAATCAATGGTTTGTGAACAGAAAACACAATAATCGCTTATTGTTTCATTCTGAAAGTTATAAAACTTACATTTTAAATTTGGACAGCAAAAAACAAACTGAACTAATGACACTACAGACAGGCCTCCTTGCATTGCCCTCGAATGAGCAAATAAATCTCGATCCTAAACAAGCAAAAGACTTTTCGTTCGAACGAACCCCCCCCCCCCAGGGATTCGACCCCCTGCCGACCCAGAAAATTTGTTCGAAATGGGGTCTTTAAAGTGATTTGGGAGAGCTCAGAAAATCAATTAGGTCGGCTTAAAAAAAGGTCGACAAAGTTTTCAAACTTTTTTGAAAATCCGCCCCCCCCCCCCCTCGAGAAAATCCTAGATCCGCGCCTGCATAAGATGGATCAAAACACTTGACGCTAATCTTGGAGCTATCTTGAAACTGTGTCTTCTTCTCTTCTTCCAGTTTGCTATCAGATGATTTGTACAGATCTGCTTCTGTTGTAGAAGAATTGGTATCTGGCTATTGACATTCCTCGATGAATTTCACAAAAAAGAACACAACTACTAGATTGAGGAATTGCAGATATTCAGCTCAGTGAAAATAGTAAACACATTACAGATCGTTCAATTTTATCAGAGCTCTAAGACTGCAAATAAATAGCTTAGATTGAAATTTTAAGGCTTTATTCCATTCCATCACATAAGAACAAATATTTCTATCATGGGTCAGTGGATCAATTGACCATACTGTTAAAAAAATATTGAATGCAAAAGACTATAAGAAGGGTTAAAAGAGTATAATGAGAAAAGGTATAAGAAAATGGGAACTGTTTCTTTTTTGAATGAAGTTTGTTAGGCAAAGATACACGAGAATGGAAACTGGTTCTTTTTTGAATTAAGTTTGTTATGAAAATGTACAAGAGAATGGCAACTGTTTCTTTTTTGACTTAAATGTGTTGGGAAGAAGTATAAGAGAGAGGGAACTGTTTCTTTTTTAAATGAAGTTTGTTCATCAGGTGAACAGAAGAGAAACAATAGCACAAAGTTAGCTGTTGCCGACAAAAAGGTTAATAAAAAGTTGAAATGTGGGATTTTCGAAAAGCTAAAATTGTAGAAACTTAAAGATTTTTTGATCAAAAATTTGACGAGCCATTAGTTACAAAAACAAACTCTCAGATATCATAAGGATTAGGATGACAAGTTGTAAGTAACCAAAACCAATCAAACATAAAAAGTTATCCAAAAGAAACATGATGCTGAATAAACTGTCGTCTATTTCAATTTTTCTTTACAAGCAGAAAACTTTGGAGGGTATAAAAACAAAACCAGGAAATGTGAAAAAATTACAAAACTGAACGAGATGAACAAATCAAGAACACTAGATATAAATAGCGAAATAGAACTAAATTTGACATTTTAAAATAAATTCTGAAAATTACGAGCAAAATATAGATGAACGTTTTTTAAACATTTTTCATTTGATAGCACTTAGGGTCTCCTTAACTCAAGTTTATAGCTAAAAAACTATATATCATTCTACAAAAGTATGTAGTCTAGAAAACAATATTGAAAATCAATTGATGAAAAAACGGATTGAAATTTAATCAAGAAAATTGCGTATTAACTCATGACTTCAATTACTTTCGCCTTAAAACACATTAGGAGCAGCAAGCAAAGATTTCATCCTTTTTTGCAATGATTTCTTGCAGTGATTAACAGTGAATTTAAAAATTTCAAAAAACAGCAAAAATGAATCAATTGAAAAGAAGCGAACAAAAAAAACAAGAAAACATGACATCAATAAGCCGACAGTCAATACGCTAAAAGACAGCCAAAAAATTTTCAGCAAAAATCATCCAAAAAGATTTTCATCTACCGGCTACAATTCAAGCCCCCAAATGGGAAAAAAAGAAGGCTGCATATTTAAGCTGTGTACTTGTGAATTTACCATTTCTAGCTTCTTTCTAAATCTGTACCATTCTGCGAGCAAAGTGATTTATTGGAAAAAGTTTAGCACCCGGTTGCAAAGCCCTTGCTTATCAAAAGGGTAAGAGAACTAGATCTAACAAAAACTTTTCCTGTGTTCGAATTGTTTTGAAGATACTTCAATTCTTTTCAAAATACATGCAGAGTAAATCAATTGAACTTTAAATTAGCTTCGGAATCAATTTTTTCAAGCGATAATATAGCCAAATTTATTTGAGAAGACACCTGTTGAGCCAAAAATGACGCAAGTAATCGCTTGAAAAACTGATTCCGAAGCTAATTTTAAGTTCAACTGATTTACTTAACATGTTTTTTCAACAGGAATGAACTATATTCAATTATTGATATTTTGTTTCTTAAAATGATTTTTCTTTTTAATTTAAACATCATTAGAGTCAAACAAAGTAGCAATCATTCCATAAGAATTCAAAAATTGCAATTAGACCGGCAATGTCTGTTTAGTCACAAAAACTGTTTTCATAAAACTTTTGTAGTAGTAAGTTTTTAAGCTTCCCTTGAAACACAAAAATACTGAAATTGAGGTTAATCAATAAATGAAGCAATGAAGGGTGACTCAGCTGATTAAAACACCAGCCAAAATCATATGAGCTGAGAAAATCCTTTCACACGAAAAAACGAAAATTATACAAAATGAGGGATCGCAAAATTACATGCAGGAACGAATCAAAATACATAACGTTTTTAGCACAACATCTTTCAACCAAGATAAAATAGCAAAAAAACGCTCCAGGGCAGAGTCAAACCCTTTATCTTTGTCGTCCCAAGCATGTACGTTATTTCTATACGTAAGAGGCTAAAATGTTAATTTGAACTTGATATACTATTAAATTCTGCTGAGAAAATGATTCAATGATTTTGATAAACAAGTTGTGAATCTGAAAAAAAGTACATAATCTGTTTCGATAAATATCTAGCTTAATCATCAAACTTCCTCATATTTTTTATTAAACTTGATTTTATTGCAAGATTAAGTTCGATCTGCTCATTTCCCTACACTTATGATTCACGAAACTTCGCTTGGAAAGATCGAAATGAGAGAATGGGACATGCTAAAAATTGAAATCGAAAAAAAAATAGTGCCGTTATACTGGCATTCACATATTTTTCAGATGATTTGATCAAAAACAATCATGATTTCAAAAGAAATAAAGCAACGCGGCCAATAATTATTTAATTCGGAATAGAAAACAACGCGAAGACAAATAATAAATTTTCAAACAAATCTATCTGAAATCGTACCAAGATATAAAAAATCAAAACAAAGAAAAACTCAGCAAATATTCTTGGAGTTTAATTAATTGCACCTTCAACTAAACCAATTCATAAATTTTTTGAATGATAGTGATAAAGACTTATATTATCAACAAATTGTCGTGCGGTGGCAGCTAAGCCGACAAAAAAGCAGACAAGCAAAAGTCGGAAAAAGACTTTTCCGAACGCGGAATATTTCGCGTCTGCAAAAAGAATCAAAACCTTGTCGGGTTCGAACCCATGACCTTTGTCGCTTCCATTCCACGCTTATTAGTTATTGGGCTAAATTGATACCACAAACTTGAAATAAAAAGTAAAGTGTTCAAATGATTCAGTTAATTTGTTGAACTAGTGTTAACCCGAAAAAAAAGCCTATATTCCAATTTGATAATGCTTGCTAATCGCAAGCGCAACAAAATCAGAAAACACTTTTTTATTAAGTATGATGATTTTATAAGGATGTGTTCTTCTATATTTTAGCAAATCGAACAAAATTAGTGACTAAACTAAGAGAGGTATCAAATTTGGGAAACAAAAATGAAATTTTGAACGCGATCGACAAAAAATTAATAGATAGTATTTTAAAATAGCTCAAATATAAGTTTTTCAAAACCAATTATGTATTTTTTCTTCGCTATCGCCTTCATGTGAGAAGTTTGAACGTTTGAAACAAAAATGAATTAAGGTTTTAAGATATTTATACAATAAGTTTTCAATATTTACAGACAACAATTATTTAACAATCACAAATCTATTTTAAAACTACATCTAAATGGTGAAAAAAAAAATTAAAGCTAAATATACAGTCTACGGTTTATGCACAGCACGTTTTGAATATATAAATATTGCACATGAATAAACTAAATGATGCTCTACTGCAGTTTTATTGCACTACTATTTACAACGCCTGCTCTTCCTCGCTGGCAAGTGGCGTGACCTTGTAACTCTCCGATTCGGTCATTGACCTTTCTTCATCGTCTCTGACATCCGACCTTGAATTCTGTCTTTCCGGCTCCCAATCATTTACAACTCTTTCGCGGTCCTTTGCTTCACTTTTTCTGCGACCTTCAGATTCGAAATTTTGTTCATTCGGCTGACTACCTGATACATTTCTTTCGTCTACAATCAACAAATTATTCGGAACGGGGCTGAACACTCTCTCCTCAAGTTCTTGATTTTCATTCATATTATTCAGATCTAAATTTGGCACATCGTAGAATACATTAACATTCGCAGTAGCTTCAATGTTCTTTTGCTCTTGTATTTTCTGTTGACCTTTCTTGAACTTTTGCATAGTTTCCTTCATCTTGTCAATTTCGCTCCACTGAAACAATTTTTCATCGCCGTCACGAGTTTCTTCATTAACCTCTAGGGTTCGATTGTGATTGGTTGAAACGGTATCATTTAACATCCAATCAGAATGTAATAATCCGTGAACCAAGTCAGTTTTCCTCAAATCCTGAGCATTAGATTCATGTTCGTAAGTGTTTCTCGCGTGAATTAATTCCTTAAACTGATCGTGTCTTCTAACTAAAGCTTTAAACTCTCTTTTCAACTGATTATGAACTTCAAAAGGTATTCCTCTATTTTTCGCTTCGTTATGTTCTAGGAACTTTATTTTTGCATATGATTCATCGAGCAAAGCCTTCAATTTAGCATTTTTTTCTCGCAAATTTGTTTTCATACTGAGATGTATTTTTGCAGCTCTAGCTAGTTTTTTCTTGTAATTTTCAGTTTCTCTTGTCAAGTCGGCAATTTTGGAAGCGAGTTTGGATTTCTCTTGAAACCACTCTTGCAAAGTACCTTGATACTGACTTCGTTCCGTGTGTTGAATGGTGATCAATTTTGTTTCTAACTCTCTAATCTGGGAGTCCATTTTCAAATTCTGTTTTTCCAGAGAATCTTTGGCGGTTTGACACGTTTCAAACTGCGAACTCAAATTTTTTACTTTAAATTGCAACTCTTCAGAACTTTTATCCAGACTAGAAATCTCATTAACTCGCTCTCTAACTTCCAGCTCTTTTGCATTAAGGTCACTTTTTTGCTGTTCCATTTCCAATTTGAGTTTTGATATTTCTTCTTTTAAATTTGAGCATTCATTCGTGGATACGTTTAAGTCAAACTTCAGGCTTTTGCTAGTGTCGCTCAAAGTTTTAACTTCACTTTCTGAAGTTATAAGTTTGGACTCAAGTTCCGCTTTTTCCTCCAGCACTTTATTAAGTTCAATACTATGCGACTCTTTGCCCTTTTCCAGCCTTCTCGTGAACTCTCGCTCTTTGCTCGTCATCAGCTGTTTGAACTTTTCCACTTGCATATTCGCAACTTCTTTCTCCGTAATCGCATCTTCGAGCTGTTCTTTTAATTTCAACGTATGTTCCGAATCATAATTTGCAAACTTCGACATTTGCAGTCTAATTTCACCGTCTTTGATGCTTATTTGGTGCGTTAATACTTCGTTGTCGTGGGTCAATCTTTGATTATCGCGTTCAATTTCGTTCATGCGTGCATCGCGATCTCGCATTTTGTTCACTTGGTCATTAGCTTCACTTTTCAATTTCTCAATCTGGTTCACCAAACTAGTTTTCTCTAGCTCCATTATTTTGATTTTAGCCTCATGGTCCGTTATGGTCTTAATATGTCCCCTCTCTCTCAAATCTGAATCATTTCTTAATTTGTCGATTTGCTGTTGAATTTCTTCGTTCATACTTTGCTGTGATATTAATCTTTGCTTCAAATAAGCGTTTTCTTTAACATTGTTTTTAATTTTTTCTTCAGACTGTTTTCGCTCCTCTTCTGAAATTCGAACAATTTGCTCTTTAGACGCCAAAATTTCATTTTTCTCTGACACAAACTTGAAGTTTAGATCTTCCAGATTTTTCGCAAAGTCGTATGCCTGCTTTTCATATTCCGATTTCAAAAACGAGTGATCATGCCTCAACTTATTGAAGTCATTTCTGTATTTTTCAACATCCTGCTCCATATCCAGCATTCTTCGTTTAAAAGTCGACTGCAGATCTGATATGACCTTGAACTTTATAGATTCTAGTTTTTCTTCAGTCAAAGCTTGACCTTCCAGCTCGTCAACTATTTGATTTTTCCGTTTTAATTCTGACTCCAGTCCACTTATCACTACATTAAACTGCTCTTTAATTCTAGCAACTTCCTCATTTTTGGCCTGCAATTCGTAGCTCTGAGTTTTGAACTCTGAGCTCATTTGGTCTGTCTGCTTTTTGAGCTTCTCGTAGTTAATTTTATGCTTTTCACTACGAGATTTTTCATCCAGTAACATTTTTTGAACCTGTGACTGACTAGCTACTGTGTCTGTGTAGTTAGTGTGGTGTGACATCGCAGATTTGTCCATTATGTTTCCAGATACTCCTCCAAAGCCAGCAGGAGACTGGAATGTAGGCGTGATCATGTCTAGAACAGGAGTTCGGATGTTGACAGTCGGGACATGAGACAAGGACGGAGGGAAAGAACGCCTCAGGGGGTTGTTAATCATCACATTCTGAAAGAGTTATGACTCTTAAGGACTCAAGTTTCACTCTGAAAGTTTCGCTAAAGTCATCATTTATAGTTTTCTTTTCACTCTCACTCAATCTAACCGCGTTCACACTGGTCTTTGATTGGTTAAGCATTACAGTCTTAAAGTTCTGGTGTTGATTAAAACCAGCAAAACGAATGCATTCAACGTCAAAATGTCAAAAGACTGACATGCATAAGCTCAGCTAAAAACTTTATTAGAGGAGAGAGGGTGAGCTCCAAAACTAGAGGAGAGAGGGTGAGCTCCAAAACAACCAAAAAAAATCATAACAGCCAACAGACAGACAGTTGGAAAAAAGTCATGAACGCAGGGAAACAAAAAAATTTATCAAAGAAAATTTAAAATATATATGGCCTTAAAGCTCTTTGAATTTCAAGGACAATTTATGATTGACACACTTTTTATTTAAAAAAATTAGACCAATTTCACAAAACTATTTCCGAAACTAACAGTCGATCGCGTTTTTTGTGAATTTTAAACTTTCGCTGTTCAATAGTGGAGTTTGCCTTCCTTTTAAGAAAAGAAATGAACTTAACTTAAAAGAAATGAAAAGTCAAACCGCGAAAAATCAAACTTTAGCGTGAACAAAATTCAAGACTTATTCCTGAAGAAATATACATCACCAAGACCTATATAAGAGTATTCACCACGTTCATAAATCCTAAAAATTCAGAACCAAGGGTATTATCGCCATCCTCCCTAATAAGTAAAATTCCCAATTTCTTTGTTCTTTTCCTCCCTTCGCAGACAATTGCTCTCAATCTGCAACCGTTCACACGCCACGAAAATTATAATTGTCGATAAACCAATAAATTTTGTAAATCGTAAATCGAAGATGCTAGCTAGTACTGTAAAAACAAAAAAACGTATTGCCATACGCAAATTGATCAGCTAGCTTCAAAATTCCAATCAATAGAAGCAAGTATGGTTGAAAGCCTCCGTTTATCCAGCATGCTTCATACCACCATCTTCTTCGTTTAGGCTTCCTTATTCAAAACAAAAGCCATAAACAATTGAGCCATAAAATGTCCATCTACTGAATACAAAACAAATATATAATGGGAAACTCCATTTGAAAACATGAAAAACTGGTCTGAATTGATACGAAAACTGGGACTAAAATGACTGGCTGGCCTTTGCATCAACGCAGATCCGGTCCTGCCGGTTTCCGTACAAATTCCTGCAGAAGGCAAAACCCCACTCTTCTAACGGAGCCTTCAAGTTACTACAAAAGCAGAGAAACCGGATTAAGCAAATCGGATCAAAATATCGACCAAAACAGTGAACAATCGAACCAGCTGCCTTTTGATCACAAGTTTTGTACTAGAGGACTTCCAAAATTCAGACCGAACACTTTTAAAACCAGATGCAGTTTTTTCCGGAACTCTTCGCCTGAAAAGTGTCCAGACAAAATTGTTTATGTATCAAACGAAAACAATTTCAACTCTCGCTCTAACTCGCCCACATTTCGGAAATTAAACGAAACTAAGAATTACTTGTTCCGAGCTATCAACGTGGAAATGATGGATCGCTTTGGAGTCAATCAGGTGATATATCAGAAACAGAAGTTGTTTATTAATTAGATAAATTAAACTTCTAGTAATTAAATTCACATACAACAAAATGCGTGATGTCAGTTGAATACAATGAAAATTTAACCTTTTGAACTCATTTGAAACAAATAACGTGAAACAAATATAACAAATTTAAAATAAATTACGTGAACTACGTTGAATACAATAAAAATTCAATCAAGAAACAGAAGAAAACATTAGTATTTACAATCACCTGTTCTGATATATCACTATCAACAGTCTCTTCACTCTATGGAAACAGTTTGCAACCCTGAAACCGACTCGCTTTCAATCAGTATGCAAAATATCTGCAATTACAGAGGAGTCAAGTATCCAGACTCCATTTTCACAAAGGCAGTCGAGGAGCGGAATCAAGACTGGCATTTTGGTCCCAGAGTTGAAACAGTGGACGAATTTAAACACCCGGAGTTAAAACCCTCGCCTCAATTAAAGCCACCAATTGAGATTCAACCAGTCAAGAGAACTATTTTGAAGCTACCCGATATTGGAGTTCTTATTTCGCCAGTTCGGGTCAAGTTTAGGGGTAACTTGCATTATGCTTACAAACTGGCAGATGAAATGCGCTTCGGGGGTAGTCAGTACAACATTGATAAATGGATTGAAGAACTGCGACAGAAAAACGAGAAACAAGGTCAGTCAGTGCTAGATTGGAATATAGCTTGGAGCACGAAACTTTGCGTATTCAAAGGCCTCCGATTAAATTGTTTTCAATACCTGAATCGCATTTAAGCCATCGTCGTTAAGTTTATATTTGAAATTTCGAAACTAAAATGGCGTTTACATCAGGGGCTGATATAAATTTTTGGGCGCCTTTTGGAAAATATTGACCAAAAAATCGCGGTTTTTCTGCGAGCACTTCGTTCAAAATTTGTATATATTGCCGCCAAAGTCGCCTTTAGAAAATTTGAAGGATTGTTGGCCAAAAAGCAATTTCGTAAAATAATACCAAAGGAGGGCCGAATCCCTGAAGGGAAACAGGGCGTTCCCTCCTCCCCCTAAATCCGCCCCCTGATTTATATTTATTTTTTTTACAATCGTCAAAAAACTTGATTTATCAAAACTATAACGAGCAAATTATCATTTGATTTAGCCGATGAAAAAGGTGCAAAAACAAAAGAAATCTCTCAAAGCGAGGTTGATTTTGAGATCCCCGTGAATATAAAAGACAGCCGTGACAACAGTTACATGATTGACTTGAACGAAGCTATGAATCGAATTGAGAGCCGACTGAGATCTGCTCGGATGGACGAGGATTCTTCGTATGCGGACGCTAGTACTTCAAATCTAACGACACAGAAAGTACCACAGAAGAAGTTGAACTCATTTCGCGTCCCTCGTGCTTATAATGTTCCGCTTTCTGAACGAAAAGGAAAATCTAAAGCAAAAACCAATTACTCCAAGGGTAACAGTTATTCAACAGACAAAAAGCCAAAAGAAAGCAAAAAGTTAGGCAAAAAGAAGTCGAAAGGAGGTAAAGGGAGAAAATATTATGCTGGCAAGAAGGCAATCGATGACATTTCTGGTGCAGTTGCTTTTGTCAGCAACCCCTCAACTCCAAACGTTAAAGACGAAGCTGATGAAGAAACAGAAACAACTTGAGAACAACCGAAAAGTTGTGTGAAATGATATATCAATAAATTGAAAGAAATATTTTTTATGAATTATTTCATAACAAATATACTCAACAGGCAGTTTGAACATAGCTAACGGAGGGTTAGAAGAGTTTTTCAACGCCAGGAAAAAGAAAAAAACGGATCGTTTTTTGAAAAACTTCAACTTTCGAATTTCAGAGAAAAAAAACTTAAGGCTTTTAGTTCTTTGAATTTCAATAAAAAGTATGATGGCCACTTTTTGATAAAATTAACCCAACTTGAGATAACCTAATTAACCCAATTTGTGAGAATAAAGCCCTTGAAACTACTCAGCATAAGTTGACTAAGCCGATAAATTAAGTCGAACCCAATTAACCGAAAAAAGATCACTTCAGAGTTGGTCAATTTACAAACTACAGAACAACTTTCAATTATAGTAAAAACTGTTTGCATCAAGAAAATGAAAAACCCAAGAATCAAAACAAGAAAAACCCAGATAATATTATTTGCACTGGGAACAAAAATCAGTCGACAGAAATTGGGACGAAAACTACAAATCCAAAAAAAAATATTTCAATAAGTAAATTTGAAAAATTAATTACTACTTCAAATGAAATAAAGAGGAGTTTTACTTAAATTTTCAAGAAATTGAGCGTGTCAAAAAATCAAAACAGAAATTGTTAACGGAACTCAAAGCCAGGAAAAAACTCTTTTCTCGCATTACTTTTTCAGAACTAACTGCATGATATTGAAGCTCTTTCAGCTATAACGATTTCAAAAAAAAACAAATATAATCTAAATAGCCCGATTTGTGGAACGGCGTTCAAAATTTGTTTTTTGCCCGTGGGAGTTATATAAATCTAACCGACAATTAATAACTCAGAGCGAAATAAATATCACCCCAATTTCCCTATGTTATTCATGGGCGAGCTTTAAAGTCAGCTTGGTAGATAATGCAATTGCAAAAAGATCTTACGGTCAGAACAAAAAAGGAAAAAACTTTACCTAATTATTTAAAAAATCCATTATCGTTAAGACTTAAAACTTCAAACAACTGTACCTGAAGATTGTAACTGAAATTTGATTTTCAATTCAAATGCGTCCAATATAAAATTATGAAATATAATTTCGTCCAAGAAGATAACACATTTGCAGACAAAATCTAAACTTTTTTCAACACAGGCGAAGCGGAGCTTCGTATCTCTTGCGAAATAACACAAGCATTAAAAAACATAGGTCAAAAAGATGAAAAATATTGGAAAAAACTAGGTCAACCAAAAATCAAACTTTTTTTTATTCCTCGATAAAAGCTCAAATTAGGCAAACATGTCGACATTTAATTTTTTAAATTACCAACGGAACAAATCTGACTGTACAGTAAGCCGACAAAAAATAGAAAGAAAAACGATAGTCCGAATAATAAACTTTTAAGAAATATTTTCTCTATGACGAAAGAGAAGGACCGGCCGGGATTCGAACCTGAGACTTTCTGTACCGAAGGCTTTACTTCTGGATCACGTGGCTCTACAAGAAACAAGTTCAATTTTGTACATATCTCAAAAAAACTGTCTCGCTGGAGATCGAACCCAAAACCTTATGCTCCGAAGTCGCGTTCTTTACATCTAGACCAAGTCTGAAGAATCTTAAAAGGCACACATACAATGTATATATACACAGAGTGTAAAAAAAACAAGTTCCGGCCGGGAATCGAATCCGAGACCTGTCGCTCGTAAGAAAAAATGTAAACGTGGAAAAAAATACTGTTTGAAAATGCGCATAATTTAACTTCCAGTTTTTCACACAGAGGCAAACAGGAGCTTCTCATCACTTGCAATCCAATGCGAGCACAGCATTGCAAGCTAGCGAATAAAAAGTAAGACGGAAAAAACAAAATCGAAAATATATATATATATATATATAATAAATATATAAATCGAAAATTAACCCAACTTGAGATAACCTAATTAATTCAATTTGTGAGATTAAAAAAAACCCTTGAAACTACTCAGCATAAGTTGAAAAAATAAAACCCTTGACGAAGACTACAAATCCAAAAAAAAATTATTTCAATAAATAAATTTGAAAAATTAATTACTACTTCAAATGCACTAAAGAGGAGTTTTACTTATTTTATACCAAAGTCTAGTTCTTTAAGTTCCTCTTGAAACTACCATAAAAAACACTTGTACTTGCAGCTACAATGAAATTTGCTTAGAGCACAAGCAAAAACGGCGATGTGGCAACGGAGCCGACACTCCTTGAACAGACACCACTTGAGACAAAAAATTTTTTAAAAAGAATTAGGAAGTTTCAAGTCCCCCTGAAATTAAATATAGAACGCATGCACTTGCAATTAAAATGAAATTTGTTTACAGCACAAGCAAAAACCGCGAAGTGGCAGCGGAGCCGACACTCTTTGAAGACACCACTTGAGACAAAAAAAAAACAATTTAAAAAAATTAAATTTCAAGTCCCCCCGAAACTGCACGAAGAACGCATGCACTTGTAACTACAAGGGAAGTTGCTTAAAGCACAAGCAAAAACCGTGATGTGGCACCTAAGCCGACCAAACGTGCGCAGACAAACATTTCCATTTTAACTGAAAAAAAAACATTCAATTGCATACATACTGAAAAAATTAAGGTGCGGCCGGGACTCGAACTCTGATATTAGAGTGCAAACGCGGCGGCGCTTCCTCTAGCCTAAATGAGAACGAACCTGTCAGTTGTTAGGCTTTAATAATAAAGCAAGTAAGATTTGTAAAAATTGTTTAATGGAAAAAGTCTAGTTCCCGATTACAAGACACTTGCTCTCGTAAGAGTAATATTATTCCCAAAACTGAGCAAAATCATCATAGGGCTAAGTGATATGGCTAAAGAGCTTGCTTATACCACCACGTTTCGCACTAATGTTCACTAAAAGCAAAATCAAAATTGGTCAGCATACAGACTACAGACCAACTTTCAATTATAGTATACTGCTTAAAAAATTAGAATCTTGATGCTTTAAGAAAAAAATCCATACTTTGTACAGTAAGCCGACAAAAAATAAAAAGAAAAACGATAGTCCGAATATTAAACTTTTAAGAAACATTTTCTTCATGACGAAAGAGAAGGACCGGCCGGGATTCGAACCTGAGACTTTCTGTACCGAAGGCTTTACTTCTGGATCACGTGGCTCTACAATAAACAAGTTCAATTTTGTACATATCTCAAAAAAAACTGTCTCACTGGGGATCGAACCCAAAACCGTATGCTCCGAAGTCGCGTTCTTTACATCTAGACCAAGTCGGAAGAATCTTAAAAGGCACACATACAATGTATATATAAACTGAGTGTAAAAAAAAACAAGTTCCGGCCGGGAATCGAATCCGAGACCTGTCGCTCGTAAGAAAAAATGTAAACGAGGAAAAATACTGTTTGAAAAAGCGCATAATTTAACTTCCAGTTTTTCACACAGAGGCAAACAGGAGCTTCTCATCACTTGCAACCCAATGCGAGCACAGCATTGCAAGCTAGCGAATAAAAAGTAGGACGGAAAAAACAAAATCGAAAATATATATGTTGGGAAAAAATTCTAGAAAAATAGTCAAGAAACATCAAAAAGCATTAAATGAAAGTTTAATTTTTCAACAAGCGGCCACTAAGCCGACACTGCATTCATTGAGCCAAAAAAGCCGACAGTGTGTGTTCATTGAGCCAAAAACAGCCACTCATTGAATAAGAAACTGTTGACAAATTTTTTTTAGAGCAATTAAGTTTCAAATTAATGCGAATGCATCTACGACAAACTTGCTGAAAGCACAATTAAAAATTCTACAATAAGGCAAATAAGGCGACAAAACAAACAGACAAAGGCGACAAAACAAACAGACAAAAAATCAGACAATTTAATTTTTCCCGGAATTTTAAATAATTTCATTTATACTGAAAAAACTAAGGTACGGCCGGGACTCGAACCCCACACCTCAGCGTGCTGAGACAACCGCGTTACCTCTAAGCCAGGTCAAAAACAGTTTCGAAATTGCTTAGGCTGACTAATATGGTAACTTTAATTTCAAGTTCAGATGTAAGAAAAGTTGTTTACGAGGAAAAAGTCTAGCTCCCGATTACAAGACACTCACTTGCTTTCGGAAGTGTAAAGTCTAAGCAAGAGCTATCTTTTTTCTATTGTTCTTTAAATTGACGAACACTCATTTGACCAAATTAACAGTTCATGAAATCGTTTGGGAAAAAAGATAAGATGGAAATTTTTATACTCAAATCATAAATTCAGATGGTTTAAGGCAAATTTCGAAAGCTAGCGATTAGTTAAAGAACCGGAATAATTTTTTTTGGGCAAAATTACAGGTTAATTACAAAATTTTTTGGTTGTTTTTCAGAAAGATAACCACTTAAAAAAAGCTTTTAACAATTACCGCGCGATAATTGTTAAAAGCGTGGGTAGCCTGTTATAACAATTACCTGTTATAAGCCGACAGAACGTGGGTAGACGCTTATTGAGCCGAAAAAAAATTTGGAATTTTTACAGGAAAGCCACCTGACTAGTCAACAGACAATTGGAAAAGAGTCAAGACACGCAAGGAAACAGAAAAGAAACTATCTCGTATTTTCAAAAACCTCGAAATTCAGAATAAAAAAGATATGACCTGGAAGCTATTTGACTTTCAAGAAAAATCTATGATTGAAATTTTTTGACAAAACTAACTCAATTTGAGAAAAGTATTCCAATAATTAAGTTTTCTTATCCCGCTGGGAAATATGAAAAAAAACCCTCTGTAGAAATCGATCACGTTTTTCGTGACCTTTATACTATGGCTGCTCGATAGGGAAGTTTGCCATCGTTTAAATAAGCCAATGTCAAACCGCAAAAAATCAAACCTGAGCCTAGAAATTTTTAAAGATTTTTCCCAGAAAAAAAATTATCACGATCAGTATAAGGTTCCTCACTACGCTCATCGACTTTTGACACAGAGGCGAAGAGGAGCTTTGCACCACTTGCGATTTAACACTAACATGAAATAAAAACATGAAAAGCCGAAATGAAAATTTATATAACCTAGTTTTTTTGTGATGTCTCGATACAAGTTCAATCCAGGCAAATATGCCGGACACTTGAATTTTAAATCAGCAACAACGAAAAAAAATTTACGAA